GAAGAATGTTGCTGTGTTCAACCCAAACATTCGTGAATATCTCTTGCAACCGTATTATATTTTAGGACAATAATTGCAAACTACAGAACAACCTGTTGATTTCCTATGCAACCAGAAGCAAATAATATATGCGGCTGTGTAATCTCTGCCGGAAGTTAAAACAACTGGCAAAGCAATAAACCATGTAGAACCCTAAACCACCGCCTGAAACGGTATAAATCATACATTACACACAGTGAATTACTTGAAACAATTTTGTGCTCAACTATGCATAGCAATGTCCAAATGTCCAATTACGTGGATCGTTGCTCATGATATTAATCCCTGGATTGTCCGGCCAGTTTACAGCTTGAATGAGATACGATGTATAGCATTGCAAGGTCAGTGCGTAATAAAGCTATGTGGTTTACTAGGCTTATAGCTAAAGGAGATAATCGCTCAATGTGCAATAGAATATTCTTACAAAATATAGACCGGTTAACTTTAGCGAAAGGAGATATATTTCTCCTAAACATTTTTAGCTGTTTTAAAAACAAAATGTACAAATTGAATGGATTATTTATATGATGAAACATGGCAAAATCACAGAATGTGAAAGGCAATTGGTTAAAACATGTCCAGATTAGGTCACTGTCATTTAATTTTAAAGACTTTTTCTGAAGACAAATTGATAAGAGAACCCAAAATGGCACTCTCCTTCAGTAAAAAACAAACTTGCCCAAGAATGAATGAATTATGATTTAAACTAATAATCATTTGCTTGGAGGCTTGTGAAAGTCTAGCAGCAGTCCTCTTACAGGCTGCTTCAGTGAGGTGAATGAGTGAGTGAGTGAGTGAGTTAAAATTGGATTGAAAGTCAAAGGCTAAAAATTGTGTGACAATTTTGGTTTATAGATTTTACTGTAGCCCAAAACAATAATCAGAAAAAAAAATGAATATAATATAAACAGTCTTCAATTTTAATCACTATCCTAAAGCCTGAATCTAGTAAAATTCTGTTCAGTGAGCTGTGGGCGGTGAGGTAGTCTAGTGGTTAAAGCTTTCGCTCGTCACACTGAAGACCCGTGTTTGATGCCGACTTCGGTACAATGTGTGAAGCCCATTCCTGGTGTCCCCACTGTTATATTGCTGAAATATTGCTCAAAGCGGTGTTAAACAATACTCACTCACTCAGTAGAGGATGATGGGTACTAAGGTTTTTGGGCAGGCTGTTAAGTTAATTTGTTTTTATTCCAGCTGCTCTTTCGTTTTTCATGCTGATGGATACAATTATTCAAATTGGAAAGAAAACACTCAGACCATTGTATGTAATCTGGATCAAATGCACAGTGCGTAACACAACACGACACGACACAGCACAACACTACATGTTATGTACCTCCATCAGTATTCACCCACCTGTATATATTGTATACATGCCTGTCAAACCGTGCTGTATATTTTGTATACATGTCTGTTGAACTGTGAAGTCCTTGTATGCTATAAATGATGACACACACACGGTAATGGTCCTATGGATGGTTCGGCAGGATATAAGGAAGCTTTTGTCTGCCTGTTTTTTGAATATTTTGACAGTCTGTAGTATTAACCAGATGAAGAAGGAGGCCTGGTGCAAACATGGCCAGTTTCACTTTCCAATATTTAGTCCTGAAGATTTGAGTCTGGGAACAGCAATGTAGAGTTTACTTTTTAAACAATTCAGCATGGAACATGCGTAGGTTGTCATTGCTAAAAACAAACTCAGTAGCTGGCTGGCTGGTTTGTTGTTTAACGTTGCTCTCAGCAATATTCCAGCTATATGACGGCAGTCTGTAAATAATCAAGTCTGGACCAGACAATCCAGTGGTTTATATCATGACCATCGATCCACGCAATTGGGATACGATGACATGAATCAACCATGTCTGAACATGTCTGAACACCCGATCACGTTAGTCGCCTCTTACAAACTGAGAATCAGAAGGAGTCATCAAGTGTAAGAAGGACCATATTTCATCATTTAAACAGGTTTTTGTTTCGGAGTTTAAAGCTTTGTGAAAATGTAATATCTTAATCTATTAAAACTCAGTTATGCATATATGAAAGACATGCCCAATTAATATGTGCAGTGCAGTTTCAGCATGTTCAATAGTATCAGCACCATTTGGTCGATATTTCCACAATAAATTATCAGAGTATAAGAGTGAGTGAGTGAGTTTGGTTTTACACCGCTTTTAGCAATATTCCAGCAAAATCACGGCGGGGGACACCAGAAATGGGCTTCACACATAGTACCCATGTCGGGATTCGAACCCGGCTCTTCGGCGTGACGAGCGAATGCTTTAACCACTAGGCTATCCGACCGCCCCTCAGAGTATAAGAGCACTATGTAGACTTACCATATGGCCTGCTATGGCTGCTGCCTGTTGTTGTACCACAAGGCCTGTCTAACCCAAGGATACACACACAAGGCCGTCACAGTGGGTCTTCCTGTAATTATGATATGCACAGAAAGGTTATTGAGTTTACATCGCAGTCGTCTTTCACTCACATGACAGGTTGCCAGTAGAGGGTAATGTCCAAGTAAATCTCCATTCCTTAAAAATAATGGCCTAGCCTACTTTTACACATTGACAAAATATTCTGTTGTGGAAAATATATGAAAAAATAAACCAGAACTCTTTGTAGACTATTTATTCTGTGTGAGTCGCCCATGCGTGATGCACGAGGAATGTGTTTTCTGCCGCTGTTGCTCATGCACCAAGCTGCGTTGCGAGCTGACATTAACTATGCATGGTACACGGCTATTCATAATTTTCGTTGGGTCCTAAACTAGTATTTATCAATCGCTTGCACATTGTCAATACATGCTGACGGAAATAATAGCAAATATAGAGCCCCGAACAAGGATATATATACTGAACAGCATAAGTTCCTGTGACATTGAATAAGATTTAATGCAAAGTTATGTTTTTTACCAAATCTGAAACAATTTCGGTTTGCAACAGATAAAAGACTCTTGTAAGTGTTCAAATGGTTTCATTTGCCATACTGACTTCAGAAAATGTGTGATTTCATAAAAAACATGAACATGCCAAAATGTCAATTTACAAATCAATAGCATGTGTGTCCACCTCTGGTTGCGATGCAAGCAACACATCTTCGTCTCATGGAATGGACCAGGCGGCGCACAAAGTCCTGTGGGATATCTGTCCATATCTGCTGGTTCATGTTTCGAAGTTCCTGGAGTGTCTGTGGAACACGTGGTTGACATCGAAGGTGCCGATCTATCTCATCCCACATGTGCTCGATTGGTGAGAGATCGGGGAGCGTTGTTTTGTTGAAGAGAATCCTGAACAAGTCGAGCAATATGAGGCTGGGTGTTGTCATGTTGAAAGGTGACGACGCAAAAACGGTAGATCAACAGGGCCGATGATCTTGTCGCGGTAGCGCTGTCCATTGAGATTTCCCTCTACCACTATCAAACGGGTCCTCTGTCTTGCTGTAATCCCACCCCATACCATAACGCTGCCACCCCCAAACCGATCTTCTTCCATGACACAATGATTGAAGTAACATTCACCTCGACGTCGGTACACTTGAATCCGTCCATCGCTGTGTGTGAGGTGAAAACGAGACTCGTCAGTGAATAGAACTTGTCCCCAGTGCATGGCTGTCCAGCGTAGACTCTGTCTGCAGAACTGTAGATGTGCTTGACGGTGAATTCCTGTCAAAATGGGACGTCTGGCAGGTCTTCTGGCAACAATCCCTGCACATCTGAGGCTACGACGTACGGTTTGTGAAGATATTCGTCGAAGTACAGGGATGCTTCTTGCAGTCACTGTTGTTGGCTGGAATCGATTTCATAGGTGTGTTGTTCGAATCCAGTTGTCTTGTCAATTATTGGTTACGCGTGGCCTGCCACTCTGAGGATGGTCTCTGACTGCATTCGTCTGTTGCCAACGTTGCCATAAACACCAAATGGTGTTTCTGTGAACGTTAAATTGTCTTGTAACATCACGTTGACTCGATCCTGCTGAAGGCGTGGCATTTCGTAATGTTGAATAATTGTGTAATTTTGTTGTTTTTCTGAGGGGTTGTTGTCAGCACGATGCTAAACAATGCATATGGAATCCCGTTAACACACGTTTTTATACCCATTCTTGGGTAGTGAAATGCATGGGGCTTGCATAAAAGTCAACTTTTGCATGGAATGCATGCTTTTATGTAGCAGTTGCGTTTTTGTGACTTGATTCCATACATGTACTACAATGTTGAAAACCAAACTTTCCTTGTTTGAAAAATACACTAATATATTGGTGTCACAGGAACTTTTGTTGTTGAGTATATATTACCTGATTTTTTTCTCTCTCGTTTATCTAATTGCTATAAATATGAACAGTGTTGACGGTTACCTGCTCTAACACAACATATATACATGTTATTTTGTGCTTTTAAGCATTATGCAAAATTATGCAAATATTTAATAATTAATTTGACACCATACCTTCATGTGCCGCCTTAGCTGAGGTTGACAATTACACGTCCTCAGAAAATGAAATTATTCACTTGTCAATAAATGTAAAAAATAGTTCCGTCCATTCCAAGTGGAAATTAATTCAAATGTTGGCTCAAGATAATGTATAGTTGACAAACAACTCTCCATTCCTGAAAAATTGAACATTCTAACAATAGAATGACATCACGGATGTGTTTTGAGTACATGTAATTACAGTTATACTAGCAGGTGCTTGCCAAGGGTTGATGTAGACCTTCTGGATCAGCTCAATGTCACATATAAGCAGGGTGAAAAAACCCCATTGTAATCAGGATATTACAATGTACAATCCTAACATTAGTAGCAGAAACAGGTGCTTGCCAAGGGTTGATGTAGGCTTTCTGGATCAGCTCAATGTCACATACAAGCAGGCTGAAAAAAACACTCATAATCAGGATATTACAAATTAAAATCCTAACATCTATTTTTTTTTAATGAACCGATCATGGTTTCTTTGTTGCAGCCATCGGTGCGTCTTACCCCTGCTGCAATCCTCTATGCTGGGCGCAGTTCCGACCAAAGTCATATTTTGGTGAGTTAGATACATGAAGAACATGGACTAGGCTACCAACATCGACCTACACATGCACATGTGCATACCCATACACGCACATGTGCATACCAGTACAAACACACATATGCATATCCGAACACACACACATGTGCATACCCGTACACACACATGTGCATACCCCTACACACACGTGCATACCCATACACACACATATGCATATCCGAACACACACATGTGCATACCCCTACACACACATGTGCATACCCACACACACATGTACATACCCACACACTCATGTGCATACCCACACACACATGTGCATAGCCATACACACATGTGCATACCCCTACACACATGTGCATACCCACACACATGTGCATACCCACACACACATGTGCATACCCCTACACACACATGTGCATACCCATACACTCATGTGCATACCCCTACACACACATGTGCATACCCACACACACACATGTGCATACCCCTACACACACATGTGCATACCCACACACACATGTGCATACCCACACACACACACATGTGCATACCCCTACACACACATGTGCATACCCACACACACATGTGCATACCCCTACACACACATGTGCATACCCACACACACATGTGCATACCCCTACACACACATGTGCATACCCACACACACATGTGCATACCCATACACACACATGTGCATACCCCTACACACATGTACATACCCATACACGCATGTGCAAACCCCCACACACACATGTGCATACCTGCACACACACCTGTGCAAACCGCCACACACACACCTGTGCAAACCGCCACACACACACATGTGCAACCCCCCCCACACACACACATGTGCAACCCCCCACACACACACACATGTACATGGTAAACATTTCTTTTCTTCTAATTATTAATTTAAAACAGTAAGTAACAAGGAATATCATAGACTCAATTCTGTTTGAAAATTCTCATAAATCTTTACATACACATTTAAACAGCATTGAAGTCGTAGTGATTTCTCTTGAGACCAATTTTACTTCCCGATTTATCATGTTTACTTATTATCTTAAACATGTCAGATTTTTTCGGGTTCGTCTGTGTGCATTATTATAAACATGATAGGAGGTGGTAGTTATTACATGGAGTGAGTGAGTGAGTGAGTGAGGGAACATTGCATGACCCTGTATGGCTATATGTATTAATGCATGGGCCTGAGGCAAATCATGAACTGTGAAATCTCCACAACATTTCTGCAATGACAACTTACATCCGATTTCCTTGTTTTCAGCGAAGTGCCCAATATCTACACAAAGAACTTCCTGTTCGTATCGCACACAGAATTGCAGGTTTCCGGGGACTTCCTTTCATTGTTGGGTGTAACCCGACCATCTTACAAGTTGTGAGTAGAACACTGCTTTATTCCGGACACCAGTCTGCCATGTTTGTTTCATGCTACCAATATTTTGTATCTTCTTTGGTAATTACACATTTCATTTAATTCAGGCCATTGACTTGGGGGCAAGCCCCCCAAACCCCCTGTTGTTTTAGCGAGGCGACCCTTGACTTGGGGGCAAGCCCCCCAAACCCCCTGTTGTTTTATCGAGGCGACCCTTGACTTGGGGGCAAGCCTCCCAAACCCCCTGTTGTTTTAGCGAGGCGACCCTTGACTTGGGGGGCAAGCCCCACCCAAACCCCCTGTTGTTTTAGCGAGGGGACCCTTGACTTGGGGGCAAGCCCCCCAAACCCCCTGTTGTTTTAGCGAGGCGACCCTTGACTTGGGGGCAAGCCCCCCAAACCCCCTGTTGTTTTAGCGAGGCGACCCTTGACTTGGGGGCAAGCCCCCCAAACCCCCTGTTGTTTTATCGAGGCGACCCTTGACTTGGGGGCAAGCCTCCCAAACCCCCTGTTGTTTTAGCGAGGCGACCCTTGACTTGGGGGGCAAGCCCCACCCAAACCCCCTGTTGTTTTAGCGAGGGGACCCTTGACTTGGGGGCAAGCCCCCCAAACCCCCTGTTGTTTTAGCGAGGCGACCCTTGACTTGGGGGAAAGCCCCCCAAACCCCCTGTTGTTTTAGCGAGGCGACCCTTGACTTGGGGGCAAGCCCCCCAAACCCCCTGTTGTTTTATCGAGGCGACCCTTGACTTGGGGGCAAGCCTCCCAAACCCCCTGTTGTTTTAGCGAGGCGACCCTTGACTTGGGGGGCAAGCCCCACCCAAACCCCCTGTTGTTTTAGCGAGGGGACCCTTGACTTGGGGGCAAGCCCCCCAAACCCCCTGTTGTTTTAGCGAGGCGACCCTTGACTTGGGGGCAAGCCCCCCCCAAACCCCCTGTTGTTTTAGCGAGGCGACCCTTGACTTGGGGGCAAGCCCCCCAAACCCCCTGTTGTTTTAGCGAGGCGACAAAGATGGCGTCTTTAAAACATAGAAACTGTTACTAAAGAATAAGCTCGTGCACATCCCTTACCAAATTGGTGGAAGGTGTCCTGTATACCCTATTTTCTTGAGTATACTGAGCACCCAAGTATAATGCGCATCCCCCTCTAGCGGATTCAGTATTTTGGAAAAATATCTTTTTCGATTATTATGCGCAGAAAAAAATTACACTGTAATCCTTCAGCGAATTCTGGTAAACGAACAGGTAATTAGAAACTTGGCAGTACAAATTTGAAATTTCAGATAAATAATCACCAAACATGTTGATTTACCGTTTAAATTGAATTTTTTGTTCTGCTAGACATTGTTTTACAGCCATGGATTAAGATTACCTTGTGTATTTTCTTGTAAACTAAGCCGGACACAGCAAGCAGCTGTACACACTTTTTCTTGGAATCTATTGGTGATTCGGTTAAAACTTACACAATGATATAACTATAAATGATTTTGATGCAAGTATCGGGACAAATTGTATCTGAAACTATTTTTGTATCGGGAATAATATATTCCAATATCTTCGTGCAGCTGACCTCTATTGCCGGTTATTTTATTTCACATGGAACAGTTTGACCAGTCACCATTGATGTTCCCGCGCACTTGATCCTCAAACTACAACAAATATGACTTTTAACAAGTCAAAGTGTGGCATTTATTATATATGTATCCATTCTCTGTCAACTAAAGTTCGTTTCAAGGCGCCAATAGCGGAAATCTGACCGTGGTTGCTGTTAATAACAGTGAGTTGTGCGATCTTCCGATCGTTTCACAGATTTTGCCGAAATTAATTAAAACAATATTAAAAGGAATTTTGAATAAAATTAATGAAATAAGTAACAAACAGAAGTCCAGATATACAATAAACACTTTTTGTAACCAGACAGTGTAATTACATGATTAATTTGCGTACTTCAGTATGGATTTGTTGACATGGTATTTCCGGTGTTACGTGCTCACGGTAATGTCTTTGTGTTGGGGGAAAAAAACAGCAAAAATCATTATAGCGTGTATAATGCGCACCCCCTTCTACCCAGCTGTGTTTTTTGGAAAAAATGTGTGCCCACTGCTTCAGTCACATTAACCCAAGTCAAAGTCTAAGTATTAATCAAGGGAATGGATTGTATGCAGTGGGAATATGTACAGATACTGTTTTGTCTGGATCTGGACTGAACACTTGCATTTTGACCCAATTCTGCCCCTCAAACAAGTTCATTTCTCTATAACCAAACAGCAGTTACCATGGTTACAGGTACATGCCAAGATTGCTGTCTGCTGCTGTAAGTGTAAGATGTTCAGGTGAAACTGCTTGTTGTGGACTGACACTCTCACCTTTTCGTGATGCAGTGCTGCAATCAGCAGAGGAATTCCTCCATCTCTTACCCTGACATTTGAGTTGAGACTCCTTGAGCTATATTCCATTTAGATAGCATCATATTAAAATATTATTATCAATATTTTAAAAAAGAAATCCATATACTCATTATCATATGTGACCCGTGAAGATCCGGGTTGAGAATAGGTCTTCAGCAACCCATGCTTGCCGTAAAAGGCGACTATGCTTGTTGAAAGAGGCGACTAACGGGATTGGGTGGTCAGGCTCGCTGAGATGCATGTCATCGTATCCCAATTGCATGGACCGATGCTCATGATGTCAATCACGGGATTGTCTGGTCCAGACTCTAGTATCAACAGACCGCCGTCATATAGCTGGAATATTGTTGAGTGTGGTGTTAAACAACAAATAAACAAACATACATTATCATATGGACAACAAATAAACATACATTATCATATGTACAACAAATTAACAAACATTATATTACAACAAATAAACAAACAAACAAACATCTTATGTACAACAAATAAACAAAGAAACATTATCATATGTTGTGTCAAAGTGTTATGGAACACCTCAGGCAATTACAACATCCGAGTGTGGTTTGGTGTGTGGCTGATTCTCAGGGATGTGTGATAATGCTGATACAATACCATCTGGCATTCTACAAGGTTATCTCATAGCAACAAGAATGCTCACAGCTGTAGTATTTCCAAAACAGCCAGTGTATATCATGTATATATGCACATGGTCGTGTGTGATATCCTGTATAAATGTATCACCAAGTGAGGGACCCACAAACAGCTTCTCATCGAAACTAAAATGTCCAAACGCTTATCTCCATCTTTTTCATGTTTATGTTGATATTTGGCCATGATTCAGAAATTTGGTGAGTTTATCATTCAGGCAATTGCTGATTGCAAACCTGTTGTTTTTGTGAGTGTGGGAGGTGTAGCAAACAGGGGTTTCCTCTTTATGAACTGTTAGGACATCAATATTACCATGGTTACAGTCTCTTCCTTAACTTTTGTCTCAGTTAAAAGAAACACTGACAATTCCTTGACCTGACATTATATGCCTCTGTTACATTATTATACCCCCATTTACGAAGTAAATCAGGGGTACATAGCGTTCCGTCTGTCAGTCCGTCCGAGCTTTTGTATGGCCAATAACTTTTTAACTGTTAACCATGCACCCTAGCTTCACCAAACTTGCTACACACATTTACCACAATGAGTACTTGTGCCTTTTGCTAGTTTGAAGATTCTGAACATTTTAATTTTGGCTGTTTCCATGGAAACATTAGAAACCTAAACTTTTAGGGTGGGTGTTTTATACGGCCTATATCTTTTTAACTATGCACCCTAGCTTCACCAAACTTTCTACACACATTAACCACAATGAGTACTTGTGCCTTTTGCTAGTTTGAAGATTCTGAATTTTTCAATTTTGGTTGTTTCCATGGAAACATTAGAAACTTAAACTTTTAGGGTGGGTGTTTTGTACGGCCTATATCTTTTTTACCATGCACCCTAGCTTCACCAAACATGCTACACCCATTTACCACAATGAGTACTTGAGTAAGATTCTGATTTTTTTATTTTTGGCTGTTTCCATGGACACATTAAGAAACATCAAGAATGTATATTGTGCTAAGCATTGATTATCCTACACTAGATTGAAATATATTTGCAAAAACATGTGTTCATTCCAAACATAATGCATCCTCATGGGGTTACAAAGGAAAGGGCAGTTCCTCTGACTTAAAGCAACAGGTATATTTCATTAATTAACAAACTATTTACTATTTGTTGTTGACCAGCAGGGATAACGGGGTATGTGAGCTTTGCTCACTTCTTTCTTGTTTTTCTCAACTGTTATAACATACCCTTGTTATAGTCCCTTCCCTGAACTGTTATAACATACCATGTTAGTCCTTCCTTAAACTGTTATGACATACCCTGTTACAGTCTCCTTAAACTGTTTTAACATACCGTTGCTGTCTCTTCCTTGAACTGTTATAACATACCCTGTAACAATCTCTTTCTTGAACTGTTATAACATACCCTGTAACAATCTCTTTCTTGAACTGGTATAACATACCCTGTAACAATCTCTTTCTTGAACTGTTATAACATACCCTGTAACAATCTCTTTCTTGAACTGTTATAACATACCCTGTAACAATCTCTTTCTTGAACTGTTATAACATACCCTGTAACAATCTTTCTTGAACTGTTATAACATACCATGTTACAGTATCATCCTTGAACTGTTATAACATACCCTGTATCAATCTCTTCCTTGAACTGTTATAACATACCATGTACCAGTGTCATCCTTGAACTGTTATAACATACCATGTTACAGTATCATCCTTGAACTGTTATAACATACCCTGTATCAATCTCTTCCTTGAACTGTTATAACATACCATGTTACAGTATCATCCTTGAACTGTTATAACATACCATGTTACAGTATCATCCTTGAATTGTTATAACATACCCTGTAACAATCTCTTTCTTGAACTGTTATAACATACCATGTTAGTCTTTCCTTAAACTGTTATAACATACCATTACTGTCTCATCCTTGAACAGTTATAACAAACCCTGTAACAATCTCTTTCTTGAACTGTTATAACATACCATGTTACAGTATCATCCTTGAACTGTTATAACATACCATGTTACAGTATCATCCTTGAATTGTTATAACATACCCTGTAACAATCTCTTTCTTGAACTGTTATAACATACCATGTTAGTCTTTCCTTAAACTGTTATAACATACCATTACTGTCTCTTCCTTGAACAGTTATAACATACCCTGTAACAATCTCTTTCTTGAACTGTTATAACATACCATATTAGTCCTTCCTTGAACTGTTATACTATCAGGGATTATCCTGAAATTTTTTACCCCTGAGAGAAAATCTCCCCTGGTCCAAAAGCCATGAGATTTTTTGGCGTGTGATGAGATTTTGCTAATTTTCAGAGATATTTCGTCTCCGCACAGTGGAAACTGTATTTGATTTTCGGAACATGTGACTCGAATAATGGTGCAATTAATGTTACAAGGTCATATTGATATATCCTCGGATATTCTGTTTTCGAACATTAATTATTCCACAGGGCATATTTAAAAATATAAGCATTAGTATTAACATCCTGTGATTAACAAAACATTACATTAGTACTTATATTTCAGTTGATTGTGTACTTTAGGAGAAATTACACTAATTAGTAATATTTCTGTATTTCTGTTCATTGTCGACTTTATGGGGAATTATTTATAGATCGTGTAGGAGGCATGTGTACCATGTTTACCACCATCAGCTGTTCATTTCGTTGGCATTTAAGAGACAAAAATCTGCAGTTATCAAATTTCAACAATGTGCGTTTAGATCGTAACTTAATATATTCAAAATGATGAAATGAAATAGCCACAGTTTGGTGGCAAAAAGTACATTACTTACATTTCAGTGCTTTTGTCAGTTTCGCTGTCTTATTTCTGTCTGTGGTGTGTACCGTATCAGAGACCGGGTCTCTGACCATATCAGATTAAATCTTATCAATATGGACTTTTCAATTTATTAGAAGTGACATTTCAGTATACGACGACTAGAGTTCCAGGTTCGTCCTTTTGTTGAATTAGCAACAATAACGTCATTTATTTCCCACAGAAGGCAGCATGTTTGTCATGTGCAGCAGACAGAAATGTCACTGGAAGTTGAAAAGACTGTTGACATTCACGATGTTTATGAATTACGTTTGAAAGATTAAGTCACAGTTTTCAAGTTTTATGGACAACTCTGAAAACAAACTTATTGTAGTATATTCTAAGAAATCTAAATCTAACTTGCTGTTTGGCCACAAAAAATAGTTCAATATTCATAATTCACTCTCGCACGAGAGTGACCATTCTTGCACGAGGGTATGTTCATGAAAACTCAGTGCCGTCTTATCTAAAGACTAGGCGAATCTCATCTAAAATACGATCGTTTGTGATCTGAAATTTGTATGTTATTATGCAGAAAGAGTTGTAAGTATAGTCATTTACTTTTTGTTTTGTTGTCATTCCAAAATTGAAATATGCTCATATTTTGAAACTTTACCCATGATTGCCTTCTTCTCTCTTGATTTCTGCACTGATGCACAAACATGTACGTCTTTGATTTCTGTTAGGATTTAAGTTTTTAAAAATATGTTTAATGATTTGGTGTTGTACTTGTAGTTCAGGGAATAGGATTTTCGTGCGCTACCAAAGTGTATATATTGTAAAAACAAACACTCGTTTTGCCAATCAGGGATAAAAACATGTTGTGCGTTCCACCATTGTCAGCTGATGCAAAGCTCCATGCAGTGATATAGGAATCGGTTATGCACAGTAAGAGATAACATGCAGTGTTGTGAGTATGCAAATGGCTGTTTCGATTGACAACTTTTGATGATTGAATAAACTTCTTGATAATTTTATTCAAGCAATTTTTGTAGGTGAAAATGAGAGTATCAATGTAGATAAAACTATTGAAAGATGTATGCAATTTTCAATCGCACTGATTGAATGTTAATGCAATATCAATCAATCCCTGTACCATACCCTGTTACAGTCTCCTTGAAATGTTATAACATACCCTGTTAGTCCCTTCCTTGAACTGTTATAACATACCCTGTTACCATGGTTACAGTTCCTTCCTCTAACTGTTATAACATACCCTGTAGCCATGGTAGCAGTGTCTTCCTTGAACTGTTATAGCATACCCTGTTTCCATGGTTACAGTCTCTTCCTTGAACTGTTATATCATACCACTCTTATAGTGTTACCATGGTTGCTATGTTCCTTTTACTGTTTAACATGCCACAGTTCTTGAAATCTTCCATGAATGGTAACAGCATGCAACTGTTGCAACTGTCTCTACCAGGAATGTTCATAACCTACTGGGGCGGTCGGGTAGCCTAGTGGTTAAAGGGTTTGCTCGTCATGCCAAAGACCTGGGTTCGATTCCCGACATGGGTACAATGTGTGAAGCCCATTTCTGGTGTCCCCAGCTGTGATATTGCTGGAATATTGCTAAAAGCAGCGTAAAACCATACTCACTCGCTCACTCATAACCAAGTACTTGTCACAGTTTTACTTTTCCAACTCTGTTGAGAGATCATTATCAAGTGCTAACTAACGGCCACCAGACGTGAAGTATCACATGACATTAATACGTCACAACTGAATTTCCTTGTTGCAAATGGTAGAACCCACAACAGATCACTCAAATGACATGGGAGACAAGTCACTGTGTCACGGAAAGTTGTAATCAAATGTTTTACATTGCTTTTGGATTATCTACTGTTTTGCGTTTCAGAAATATTCAAGACCTGATGTTTGTTGACAATGGAAGTATCAGTAACACGTGTGTCCTGTCTGTTTTCAGCATGAGCTGTACATCCGGGCGTTCCACATCCTGTCGGAGATGATGCCAGTAAGTGTGATGACTCTCTACCGTGATAACTGATAACTTACTGGTACTGGTGGTAGAATAGTAGGACTCGGACAGAACAAAGACTGGTCCATGGTAGGATGCACAGTAGGGCTCCAATCTGGCAGAGCTCAGATCAATGTTAGGACTTAGATCGTTAGTTGGGCTCAGATCCTTGGTAGGACTCAAATCTTTGGTAGGACTCAAATCTTTGGTAAGACTCAGATCTTTGGTAAGACTCAGATCTTTGGTAGGACTCAGATCCATGGTAGGACTCAGATCTTTGGTAGGGTTCGATCCATGGTAGGACTCAGATCTTTGGTAGGGTTTGATCCATGGTAGGACTCAGATCTTTGGTAAGACTCAGATCTTTGGTAGGACTCAGATCCATGGTAGGACTCAGATCCATGGTAGGACTCAGATCTTTGGTAGGGTTTGATCCATGGTAGGACTCAGATCTTTGGTAGGACTCAGATCTTTGGTAAGACTCAGATCTTTGGTAAGACTCAGATCTTTGGTAGGACTCAGATCCATGGTAGGACTCAGATCTTTGGTAGAACTCAGATCTTTGGTAGAACTCAGATCCATGGTAGGACTCAGATCCATGTCGGGAAACCCCTGAACTAAACAGGTCCTTTACTCCTGGATTGTCTGGTCCAGACTTGATTATTTATAGACTGCCTTCACATTGCTGGAATATTGCTGAGTTTGGCATTAAACAACAAACAAACAAACAAATGTTACGGCAAGCATGGGTTGCTGAAGACCTATTCTACCCGGACCTTCTCGGGTGTGTGCGTAATGAACAAATACAAGTACAGTAAAAGGGATGTACAGGGAAGCCGAGTCAGCTGCATAACCTCATTATGAATACTGCGAAATGTGAGTAATTTGTCAGTGAATGAATGTGTATGTGATAGTGTGTCTGGAATATTGCGAATGCTTCACTGCCAGGGTGAGTACTTGGCTAGTATTGGATCAGTACAGGGTGAGTACTTGGCCAGTATTGGATCAGTACAGGGTGAGGACTTGGCCAGTATTGGATCAGTACAGGGTGAGTACTTGGCCAGTATTGGGTCAGTACAGGGTGAGTACTTGGCCAGTGTTGGATCAGTACAGGGTGAGTACTTGGCCAGTATTTGATCAGTACAGGGTGAGTACTTGGCCAGTATTTGGTCAGTACAGGGTGAGTACTTGGCCAGTATTGGGTCAGTACATGGTGAGTACTTGGCCAGTATTGGATCAGTACAGGCAGAGTGAGTACTTGGCCAGTATTGGGTGAGTACTTGGCCAGTATTGGATCAGTACATGGTGAGTACTTGGCCAGTATTGGATCAGTACATGGTGAGTACTTGGCTAGTGTTGGGTCAGTACAGGGTTAGTACAAGGCCAGTATTGGATCAGTACATGGTGAGTACTTGGCCAGTATTGGATCAGTACATGGTGAGTACTTGGCTAGTGTTGGGTCAGTACATGGTGAGTACTTGGCCAGTATTGGATCAGAACATGGTGAGTACTTGGCCAGTATTGGATCAGTACATGGTGAGTACAAGGCCAGTATTGGATCAGTACATGGTGAGTACTTGGCCAGTATTGGATCAGTACATGGTGAGTACTTGGCTAGTGTTGGGTCAGTACATGGTGAGTACTTGGCCAGTATTGGATCAGTACATGGTGAGTACTTGGCCAGTATTGGATCAGTACATGGTGAGTACAAGGCCAGTATTGGATCAGTACATGGTGAGTACTTGGCCAGTATTGGATCAGTACATGGTGAGTACTTGGCTAGTGTTGGGTCAGTACAGGGTTAGTACAAGGCCAGTATTGGATCAGTACATGGTGAGTACTTGGCCAGTATTGGATCAGTACATGGTGAGTACAAGGCCAGTATTGGATCAGTACATGGTGAGTACTTGGCCAGTATTGGATCAGTACATGGTGAGTACTTGGCTAGTGTTGGGTCAGTACATGGTGAGTACTTGGCCAGTATTGGATCAGTACAGGGTGAGTACTTGGCCAGTATTGGATCAGTACATGGTGAGTACAAGGCCAGTATTGGATCAGTACATGGTGAGTACTTGGCCAGTATTGGATCAGTACATGGTGAGTACTTGGCTAGTGTTGGGTCAGTACAGGGTTAGTACAAGGCCAGTATTGGCTCAGTATTGGATCATTACTTTGCCAGGATTTGGTCAGTACAGGGTGAGTACTTTGCCAGGATTGGGTCAGTACAGGGTGAAACCGTTCGCACACTAAGTTGTTGAATATATTCTAAAATGAAATTTAATAGTGTCAGGGGTTTTAGGATAAGCCTCAGTTCAATCATCCATGTGATCCAGCACAGAGTGACATGCCTGCCATGATAGATGACAACAGGTGACAGTTCAGGTGGGCAGTGCGGCAGCCGGTTGTCACAGGTAGCTATTGAGCCCCGGCCAGCTGCCCACTTGGTATTGATTCTGTGTCTAGGAAGTAGGGCATGACTGGTTCAAGCTTTCATTCCAAACACTAAAACCTTGACGTGGGACCCGGGATATCAATGGCACAACTCTATTGCTTGATGTAAGAGGTGACTAAATTGCATTGGGCTGGAAATCTGGGATAGTTTGCTCGCTATAACGTGGCCTGATAGTGATAGCACACATACACACTGCACACCTGATGTTGGATAATATATTTGGCTGTGTTAACACAAGTATATTTGGTGGCTGTGTTAACACAGGTATATTTGGTGGCTCTGTTAACACAAGTATATTTGGTGGCTGTGTTAACACAAGTATACTTAGTGGCTGTGTTAACACAAGTATATTTGATGAAATCTACACCCCTACACCCCTACACCCCGACACCCCTACTCCCCTCCACCCCTCCACCCCTACTCTCCAACACCCCTACACCCCTACACCCCAACACGCCTACACCCCAACTCTCCTACACCCCTACACCCGACCCCTACACCTCTACACCCGACTCCCGACACCCCTACACCCAAACTCTCCTACACCCCTACACCCCAACTCTCCTACACCCCTACACCCCTACACCCGACTCCCCTACACCCCTACACCCGACTCCTCTACACCCCTACACCCCTACACCCGACTCCTCTACACCCCTACACCCCTACACCCGACTCCTCTACACCCCTACACCCCTACTCCCGACTCCCCTACACCCCTACACCCGACTCCTCTACACCCCTACACCCCTACACCCGACTCCTCTACACCTCTACACCCCTACACCCGACTCCTCTACACCCCTACACCCCTACACCCCTACACCCCTACACCCGACTCCTCTACACCTCTACACCTGACTCCCCTACACCCCTACACCCCTACACCCGACTCCCCTACACCCCTACACCCGACTCCTGTACACCTCTACACCCCTACACCCGACTCCTCTACACCCCTACACCCCTACACCCGACTCCTCTACACCTCTACACCTGACTCCCCTACACCTCTACTCCTGACTCCCCTACACCCCTACATCCGACTCCTCTACACCTCTACACCCCTACACCCGACTCCTCTACACACCTACACCCCTACGCCCGACTCCTCTACACCTCTACACCTGACTCCCCTACACCTCTACTCCCGACTCCCCTACACCCCTACACCCCTACACCTGACTCCCCTACACCCCTACACCTGACTCCCCTACACCTTACACCCCTACACCCGACTCCTCTACACCTCTACACCTGACTCCCCTACACCTCTACACCTGACTCCCCTACACCCCTACACCTGACTCCCCTACACCCCTACACCTGACTCCCCTACACCTCTACACCTCTACACCCCTACACCTCTACACCTCTACACCCAACTCCCCTCCTCCATCCTAGATCCACGTCTCTGAGGATCCACTTCCTGGTTGTATTATGTGGGCAGATAAACACACAAGCAATCTGTCAACTGGCTGGATGTATCACATGGTCATAAAAAGTCATCCCTATTGTGTTGTTCTCGGTGTAGTAATGAAATGTAATCAAGACAAGCTCTACACGTACAAAACTATTGTAATGGGATGTAATCAAGACAAGCTCTACACGTACAGAACTATTGTAATGAAATGTAATCAAGACAAGCTCTACACGTACAGAACTATTGTAATGGGATGTAATCAAGACAAGCTCTACACGTACAGAACTATTGTAATGGGATGTAATCAAGACAAGCTCTACACGTACAGAACTATTGTAATGGGATGTAATCAAGACAAGCTCTACACGTACAGAACTATTGTAATGGGATGTAATCAAGACAAGCTCTACACGTACAGAACTATTGTAATGGGATGTAATCAAGACAAGCTCTACACGTACACAACTATTGTAATGGGATGTAATCAAGACAAGCTCTACACGTACACAACTATTGTAATGGGATGTAATCAAGACAAGCTCTACACGTACAGAACTATTGTAATGGGATGTAATCAAGACAAGCTCTACACGTACAGAACTATTGTAATGGGATGTAATCAAGACAAGCTCTACACGTACAGAACTATTGTAATGGGATGTAATCAAGACAAGCTCTACACGTACAGAACTATTGTAATGGGATGTATGTGCAACGAGATCCCTACAATATGGCGGCCAACATGGGATGGGACAGCAATATCTTGTGAACATCCCAATTGCGTGGATTGATGCTCATGATGTCGGATTGTCTGGTCCAGACTTGATAATTTTTACTGACCGACGTCATATAACTGGAATATTGCTGAGTGCGGCGTTTAGCAACAAACAAACAAACAATCCCTGACTGACCCCGTGGCTGACTGATGGTACACAGCTACCAGTCTGACACCTGTCCTAGCTGCTGGATCAGGGACACCACTTGTCTAACAGTTTCAGGAAGGTGTGTTGGTGTGTAGTCCTCTGGTGGGAAGCTTGTGTACTTGGCTCCTGTCAACATCCCCCAGCTTCATGTTGAGGGGGGGCGGTTGGGTAGCCTAGTGGTTTAAGCATTCGCACATCACGCCGAAGACCGGGTTTCGATTCCCGACATGGGTACAATGTGTGAAGCCCATTTCTGGTGTCCCCAGCCGTGATATTGCTGGAATATTGCTAAAAGCGGCGTAAAACCAAACTCACTCACTCACTCATGTTGAGGGGCGTGAGAGATAACATGTCTTATGCAGCGTGACTCAGGCTCTCCTTTAACCAAGGCCGATGCCAAGGTCCCTTGTACTGACTTTTTGGCAATTTACGTTGAGGATGGTAATCAAAGTAGACAAAATTTATGGATAGCAACTTCTTTAATTACTGTAAAGGTGACGTTGTGGTATAGATCCTTATAGCATTTTCTATACCGAAACGTAGCCTTTACAGTAATTAAAGAAGTTATTATCCATAAATTGTGTCTACTTTGTCATCCGTCAACTTCTAAGTAATGCCTATCAAACAATTCAGACTGGGAATAATAAGGGAAATAAGAAAACAGTATTTGGCAGCCAATTGTTTTAGATAATATCTGAGGCAAATTAGTTGTTTGACTGTCTTGAATGAAGGACTAATGAAGTGTTTTAGATGGCACTACCTCATAAAAAACAGCATCGTGTTGACAGGGAAGAATTTATATTAGCAAGAACACGGAAATAACCAGATCCAAGAGTTTTTTTTCCGAATTCCAGGAAGTAGGTTCATTGTCAGAAGTTGCCAAGTTTACAGTCACCATGGTTACCGTGAAATACCAAAGTTAACAATAAAACGTCATTTCTGTTGTAATGTATATCAGACAAGATGTGAGGTGAGGTGAAATGGGGTTAAACACACAGACGTGAAGTCAGATGTAGGATATATGCAGTGTATATAAACATGATAAAAGATATAAAGTCATATGTAGGATATATGTTGTGTATATGACAGACGTGAAGTCAGATGTAGGATATATACAGTGTATATCAAAGATATAAAGACATGTAGGATATATGTAGTGTATATCACAGACATGAAGTCAGATGTAGGATATATGTAGTGTATATGACAGACGTGAAGTCAGATGTAGGAAATATGCAGTGTATATCAAAGATATAAAGACAGATGTAGGATATGTAGTGTATTTCACAGACATGAAGTCAGATATAGGATATATATAGTGTATATCACAGACATGAAGTCAGATGTAGGATATATGTAGTTTATATCACAGACATGAAGTCAGATGTAGGAAATATGTAGTGTATATCACAGACATGAAGTCAGATGTAGGATATATGTAGTTTATATCACAGACATGAAGGCAGATGTAGGATATGTAGTGTATTTCACAGACATGAAGTCAGATATAGGATATATATAGTGTATATCACAGACATGAAGTCAGATGTAGGATATATGTAGTTTATATCACAGACATGAAGTCAGATATAGGATATATATAGTGTATATCACAGACATGAAGTCAGATGTAGGATATGTAGTGTATTTCACAGACATGAAGTCAGATGTAGGATATGTAGTGTATATCACAGACATGAAGTCAGATGTAGGATATATGTAGTTTATATCACAGACATGAAGTCAGATGTAGGATATATGTAGTGTATATCACAGACATGAAGTCAGATGTAGGATATATGTAGTTTATATCACAGACATGAAGTCAGATGTAGGATATATGTAGTTTATATCACAGACATGAAGTCAGATGTAGGATATATGTAGTTTATATCACAGACATGAAGTCAGATGTAGGATATATGTAGTTTATATCACAGACATGAAGTCAGATGTAGGATATATGTAGTTTATATCACAGACATGAAGTCAGATGTAGGATATATGTAGTTTATATCACAGACATGAAGTCAGATGTAGGATATATGTAGTGTATATCACAGACATGAAGTCAGATGTAGGATATATGTAGTTTATATCACAGACATGAAGTCAGATGTAGGATATATGTAGTGTATATCACAGACATGAAGTCAGATGTAGGATATATGTAGTGTATATCACAGACGTGAAGTCAGATGTAGGATATATATAGTGTATATCACAGACATGAAGTCAGATGTAGGATATATGTAGTTTATATCACAGACATGAAGTCAGATGTAGGATATATGTAGTGTATATCACAGACATGAAGTCAGATGTAGGATATATGTAGTGTATATCACAGACATGAAGTCAGATGTAGGATATGTAGTGTATTTCACAGACATGAAGTCAGATGTAGGATATATGTAGTGTATATCACAGACATGAAGTCAGATGTAGGATATGTAGTGTATTTCACAGACATGAAGTCAGATGTAGGATATATGTAGTGTATATCACAGACATGAAGTCAGATGTAGGATATATGTAGTTTATATCACAGACATGAAGTCAGATGTAGGATATATGTAGTGTATATCACAGACATGAAGTCAGATGTAGGATATATGTAGTTTATATCACAGACATGAAGTCAGATGTAGGATATATGTAGTGTATATCACAGACATGAAGTCAGATGTAGGATATATGTAGTGTATATCACAGACGTGAAGTCAGATGTAGGATATATATAGTGTATATCACAGACATGAAGTCAGATGTAGGATATATGTAGTTTATATCACAGACATGAAGTCAGATGTAGGATATATGTAGTGTATATCACAGACATGAAGTCAGATGTAGGATATATGTAGTGTATATCACAGACATGAAGTCAGATGTAGGATATATGTAGTTTATATCACAGACATGAAGTCAGATGTAGGATATATGTAGTTTATATCACAGACATGAAGTCAGATGTAGGATATATGTAGTTTATATCACAGACATGAAGTCAGATGTAGGATATATGTAGTGTATATCACAGACATGAAGTCAGATGTAGGATATATGTAGTTTATATCACAGACATGAAGTCAGATGTAGGATATATGTAGTTTATATCACAGACATGAAGTCAGATGTAGGATATATGTAGTTTATATCACAGACATGAAGTCAGATGTAGGATATATATAGTGTATATCACAGACATGAAGTCAGATGTAGGATATATGTAGTGTACAACTCTTATTTGTCCTGTAGATAGCAGACATTGATTTAAACATTTTTATTGCAGAATATCAAATGGATTAGGCACAAGTGACACACTTACAAGGCCTTCTCTTACATACCTTTCATTACCTTGTAATATGTGAATAATGATAGTGCAGAATAAATGTACAGTGCATAGGAATTATATACAAGTAATGAGAAAATATAAAAACACAAGCACATATATATATACAGTGTTACACACAAACACATATACCTACATACACATACACACATACATATGCATGCGTATACATACATACATGAGAATCAGTTATATTTATTGCTACATGTATATAATGGAACCTTTGTGAGTGAGTGAATGAGCATGATGAGTTAAAATTTAACATCGCATCGGCATTTTTTCAGCCATATAGCGATGACACCAAGTAAATATATTCACAATTTAATTATTTATGCAAAGTTATATTTAAAAACAAGTTATGAAACATATTTGAGCATACTATGTTCAAAAATAATTGATGAGTACATTTGTAAAAGATATTTAATATATTTATATAATACCACAGCTGTTAATAAACTAACAGACATTTTAGATTTAAGTGAAGGGCAGGAAATATAGAATATAACTAAGCTGTGATAATTACATTGAATGCTATTGTTTTACATCAAAATCAAAGTTATAACGAATACCAAAACTAATAGAAAAGTAAAAAAATTTTTTTTATATAACTAAGACTTTTTGTACTGAAACAAGCATGTATTAAATGTGCAAGTTACATGTAAAACAAGACAATTTAGGAGCAGCTAGTGATAAATATAAATTCTTGTTACATTAAGATAAATTTAAAATCTGTTTATTTCTACAATAAATTGATGGAAATATTTACAAATTGAGTTATTTTGTTCTCGGCTATATTTTTGTTACCACTAAGAATGTTTTCAAACTTGGGAAGAGTCCCTATATTCCTAATGTTGATAAACAAAGATTGTCATATTTCTTTTACATTCAAGAAAATAGTAAAAAGCATTTTCACATGGGGAACTGCAAGAGCAAGAAATAGACAGACATTAAATTAACAGGCAGGCAGATTTAGGGTATATGTAATTTACATTTCTCATTTGTCCTGTAGATAACAGGCATGAAGTCAGATGAACACTTCTCCGAGACCCTTCGGAACCTTCTCGACGACCACAAGAACAATGTCACTCTTCTAGCCGAGGGATTTGCAGAGTGTCGCAAACATATCAAGGTGAGGCATGAAACCCATGATTGAAAGGAGAGAAATACTGGTGTAGGTACTTGGTGGTTAAAGCGTTCGCTCGTCACGCTGAAGACTCGGGTTCGAATCCCGACATGGGTACAATCTGTGAAGCCCATTTCTGGTGTCCCCTGCCGTGATATTGCTGGAATATTGCTAAAAGCAGCGTAAAACCAAACTCACTCACTCACTTGGTGTTAATGTTCAAGATTTAGGAGTCCCAAGATTCAAATACCCAATGATTGGGGCAGCATGGCTTCTACTAAAGGCCAACAAGAAACCTCATTATTCCAACAGTGATTTGGTCTGTTGGGTGTCAAACTTGCCAGGCCCATTAGTATTCCCCCAGTTTAAAAAAATTGGGTATATGACAATCAGCCCGTCCGTCCATCCATCTGTCTGTCCTCCATTTCATACCCTGATGACTCTTGCTGACCTTTGTTGTAAGATGATAAATCTATCAATGCTGATACTATCATTCATATGAAACCTCATTGTCAAAGGTGTTCTAGAATCCAGTTATTGTGTCTCAGAAGTCGTAAGCAGAGTTGCTTCCCTTAGACGTGCCAGAATCCTATTAGTGTGTGTTCCAGATCCCAGACTTGCCCTGACTATGATTCCTTGCTTATCAGCACCATGCCCATGAATGTGATGCCACCAAAGTGGTAAACGCCTGAGACTGCATCACAAGGGGCTTTCCTCCTGGCTGTGGTTGACATGCTGTGATATAACTGAAATACTGACCACAGCCCCAACTCACTCACCCACCCACTCACTCACCCACCCACCCACCCAAACACCCACCCACTCACTCACTCGCCCAAACACCCACTCACTCACTCACTCACTCACTCACTCACTCACTCACTCACTCACTCACTCACTCACCCACTCACTCAAACACCCACTCACCCACCAACCCACCCACCCACCCACTCACTCACTCACTCACTCACTCACTCACTCACTCACTCACTCACTCACTCACTCACTCACTCACCCACCCACCCACCCACTCACTCACTCACCCAAACACCCACTCACTCACTCACTCACTTGCCCAAACACCCACCCACCCAAACACCCACCCACTCACTCACTCACTCACTCACTCACTCGCCCAAACACCCACCCACTCACCCACTCACTCACTCACTCGGATTTAATTTCAGGATGAGGCCCTTATCAAGAGTTTCTTGGACAAGACTCTGACATCCCGCCTGGGGATCCGAATGTTGGCGGAGCACCACCTGTCGCTCCACCTGGAAAGGGTCAGTGTTTCTGTGTTGTCCTTGTGTTCGGCGCGGTGCTGGTGCCTGGTTGCTAGGGGTACTCAGGCTATTGTCTAGCTATGGAGGGCAGAACTCGAAATTTGAAACCTTTGGTAAGGTCCGTTCAGTGTTTTCTTTGGACTTTGATTAGGGAGAATATTATTTTGAAAAGGATCATGCTTTCAAATCTGTTTCTTTTAAGAAGTGAATGATGAATTAGATGTGACTGTTGAGATTATGAATACTCCAACAAAATTTAAAACGGTTTTAGTCAATTTTGGTCAATACTTAAATTATTTTTAATATTATTTCTAAAATAGTCCTATGAAAACACTGTTCCTGACGAGTTAAGATGTAGGAACTTCTCAGCTAGTCTGACACAGTCAGGTTATCTGCAATATTTACATTGTTTCCGTCGTCCATCTAATGTTTTTTCTCATGAATCTCTGTTGATAAGGGACCATGTTCGGCGGGGTTGTCTCCCTTGGTGGAGTTGATTGTAAATGGTAGCCAATGTTTCATGCATGGTTTATCCGTACCGGAGTTTTGTGAAAGAGAGTATTAAGTGCATACACCTTCATCCAGCCAGAATACAGTGAGTGGTTATATCTGTCACCTGGTGGGAAGGAAGCTGTGCTATGTCCCCTGTATGTTGGGAGTCCATGGTCTGTGTCCGAGTGCAGCTTTCAGCATATCAGTGTCATGGTAGGTGGTCCTTGTGTTTGGAAGTCCTTCTGAAGGCCCAGTTCTTCTCATCATGATTCAAGGCACAGGTGGTCCAGTGGTCTAGACAGAGTTGTTTTCCTGAGGTTCCTATCATTGTGTGTTCAGGGTTCACTCAAGGAATTTTCTGACATGGGCCTATTTTGTGAAATAGAGAATCTCACCAGAGTGTCTTTTGATATCAAATATATCAACACAACTTGATAAAAGTGGAAAACTCCGAGGCTTGCCGAGGATTTTTCACACTTTTATCACTTTTATCCAACATCATTCTTCCAACTTTTTCAGTTTGTAGACAGTAATAAGCAGTGTCTTAAGTGCAAAAAGTACTGCTATCAGCTTCAGCAGCAGAGCCATTAGCGATGTCATTTGATTGTGACGTCATGGTAACCAATGACGTCACAATGGTCTGCAAAGCATTGTGATGCAATTTCATCGCAGTGTAGATATCGCTTGATCTCAACCAAGCATATCTCCTGTGGGAGCCAGTTTTGGATGATAAAATTTCATATATTCCAGAGGTACACCCACACTTGCCTATACAGCACAATGTTAAAATTCCCAAATGTATTTGGAAATGTGGGCCTTTTTCAAATTTAGGGGCTAAAAGCACAAGGCCCCACACCAGTATTATCCCTGTGTTCCAGGTCCACAACTTAACCTAACTGGGATACTTTGCTTATCAGGGGCGGTCAGGTAGCCTAGTGGTTAAAGTGTTTGCTCGTTACACCGAAGACCCGGGTTTGATTCCAGACATTGGTAAAAAGCCCATTTCTGGTGTGCCCTGCCGTGATATTGCTGGAACATTGCTAAAAGCCGTGTTAAACCATACTCACTCACTCACTTTTCTTATCAGCATCTTACCCATGAACGTGGTGTCACCAAAGGGGTAAACGCCTGAGACTGCATCACTTTGGGCTTTCCTCCTGCCTCAAGCTGACATATTGTCATGTAACTGAAACAATTTTCAAAGCAGTGTTATCCCCAACTCATTCCTTGCTGGTGTAGTGTTGCCATCACTGAGGGTAAGGTTCTTCCTGATGTCGTGTGTCGCCATCACTCAGGGTTCATTCCTTGTTCGTGTAGTGTCGCCATCACTCAGGGTAAGGTTCTCCCTGATGTCGTGTGTCGCCATCACTCAGGGTTCATTCCTTGTTCGTGTAGTGTCGCCATCACTGAGGGTAAGGTTCTCCCTGATGTCGTGTGTCGCCATCACTCAGGGTTCATTCCTTGTTCGTGTAGTGTCGCCATCACTGAGGGTAAGGTTCTCCCTGATGTCGTGTGTCGCCATCACTCAGGGTTCATTCCTTGTTCGTGTAGTGTTGCCTTCACTGAGGGTAAGGTTCTCCCTGATGTCGTGTGTCGCCATCACTCAGGGTTCATTCCTTGTTCGTGTAGTGTCGCCATCACTGAGGGTAAGGTTTTCCCTGATGTCGTGTGTCGCCATCACTCAGGGTTCATTCCTTGTTCGTGTAGTGTCGCCATCACTGAGGGTAAGGTTCTCCCTGATGTCGTGTGTCGCCATCACTCAGGGTTCATTCCTTGTTCGTGTAGTGTCGCCTTCACTGAGGGTAAGGTTCTCCCTGATGTCGTGTGTCGCCATCACTCAGGGTTCATTCCTTGTTCGTGTAGTCGTCATCACTGAGGGTAAGGTTCTCCCTGATGTCGTGTGTCGCCATCAGCAATAATTTGATTCTGAGTAATTCAGTCGTCTCCCTTGCTGATGGTTCTGACTGTGTATGGCATCACCAGTGATAGATTTATGCAACTGGTAACTGTGGTTTGTGTGTTTGTATAGGATTTCCAGCTGCAGCAGTTATTTGTGTTCAGCACTGTATTATTGCAGCTGCACAAGAATAAACTTGTGGGTTGACAGTCAGTAAGCAGCTGTGTCTCCTGCCCGTGTCGCACTTATGCAGCTGAGATATCCGCCGCTAATATTTAAGGTAGACAAAGGGTTCACTATTAGATCGTCGGTGAGCTGCTCAGTCTGAAGCACATGTTTCTACATGACAAGGCTATCACTAAAAAATACCAATAATCTATATATACTGAACAACTAAAGTTTGGGATCATGAATATTTTTGGGAATATTTTTACGAAATCCTGCTCAGTCTTCACTACTGAAATATCCCCCAAAATATTCATGATTTTTTTTTTTATTCCGTATACATTTAAATACATTTAAAGGAGAAAATGTAAAAAAATAAGTTACATTCACAGCAGTGACTTAACACCAAATAAAGAATATTTCTTGTTGAACTGCCTTATCACTGGGAGATTGTACTCCAACATGGCACCACGAGTTTGCCAGAATGTGGTGCAGTGGACTACATTCACAACATGCATGTCCCTATGTCTGCCATGACTGCATGTTCTGCCCCCAATATGCTAGATAACGTGTATTCTCCACAGCCAAACCATGTGGGCATCATCAACGTTGGTTTCTCGCCGAGAAAGCTTATTGAAAAGAAAGCCGAATTTGTAAGGTAAGCTTACGGGATGGAGAGGCAGTTCCTTGTTCATTTCTCCTTTGTCAGATGCAGTAGTGGTAAAAAACATCTCCCAAGGAGGTCCTGTACGTTTTGTATGTTCTTTAAAATCTAAGGATCTCTACAGTTTTCATGTTGACCTTGACCTTGATCTTGACCTTGATCTTGACCTTCAACCTTTGTACCATGATTACAACTCATACATGCAACATGAAATTTAAACGTTCGGGACAATCACAGAAAATAAGGAATTTAATACATTTCCGATCAATCTCATTGAAATCAGATCTTTACTCTGATATGGTACATCTGCATGAAGGTCAGACAATCCCTCCTTGGGATGTCGCTCACAGCAGGTGAACTTTCTTATCAGCCATTGAGCATCAAGGCTTCTATCTTCTCAGTACAAGTCAGCGAAGCATTCAGATGAGCGTATCTTGAAATTGAATATGATCAGGGAGTTCTGAATGCAAACCTATAATGGTATGCTGCTATGATGTGGGAATGTTATACATCCTGTAGTTTCTGAGCTCCATGGCAGCTACACCAGGGTGTACTATCAAGGGAATATTTGTATTCTGTGTGGGTTTTCCTTTGTTAAGATCAAAGGTGGAGGTGGAAAAGAAATGAAGCTGACATCTGATTGGCTGAAGGCTCACCTGATGCGACCTTCTATGGAGGTGCCCTCACATTAAAACAGAGGTCTGGTATCAGTGTAAAAGATCTGATTTTATTGAGATTGTTTTCAGATGAAATGACACCCAGAACTTAAACAAGACCTGTGTGAGAGTAAATCAGTTGGGTGGCGAATGAATATGCATCTTCCGCCATTCTGGAACAATACAGGTCCCAAGGTTCTCCATTGCTATTACATAGCCTATCTCTCACAGAGGCAACACAGCGTTAGAAATTTTTGAACAGAACAGAACAGAACAGAATTTATTTCGTATAGTCTGGCCATGAGGCCAATAGTACAGATGGTTGGATAATATTTGACATGTTGTGACAGAGAGCTTCAGTTAATATTGGCTTTGGAATTTCTAAGTTTAAACATTTTATCTAAATAAAGAGCAAGCTGAAATAAAATGTCGTTGTTTGTTGTGAGTAACAATACAAACTTGTGCAGGGTAGGATATTGATAATAATACGAGGGCAAGTACCTTATCCTCAAGTTAGTATAAGCTGGACATATAAATAGTGCATAGAAATTGGCACTAGTCGTCCTTGCCAAACTGCCACATAGTTAAGGTATCCGAAGGACTAGTAGAAATCAACCCTTTTTCAGGGGTTTTGCTATATATTGTCATTATAAGCACAAGTGGGCTAAAACTGTTAATTTCTGTCGCTGGGCAACAGGTCCCATGACCTGGAAGTACTCGTATTAATCTGAAGCTGATTATGATACACGCACACTGTGTCTATTGCACACTTGAGTAAAATGCACACCCGTGTTAAGTGCACACTTAAATATACTGTGCACCACCCATTCTTGGATGCAAGTATCATTTAGAACAGATTTCAATATTTGTTAGCGTTGGCAGTAACATAGCAGATGTACACAAAGTGTACACACCAATGGTTACGTTCATAACACTAAAAACACAACAACAAAAAGTCATCTCCCAATCTTTGGCAGTTAATAACTTTGTTGTAGGTAAGTATCAGTCCATGTCCAGTCATAATAATAATAATAATAATAATAATAATAATTACATTTCTGATGAGCTGTTCAGTTCACCAAGGAAATACCCCAAAGGTTACACGATCATTCAACTAGTGATTGGGGAGTATATAATCCAAACTGCTATATGTGCCGCTAGAATCACATCTCACACCCTGGCCGCATCATACCAAAAGATGTTAAAAGATGGTACTTGTTGCTACCCTGTCGAGCGCTCGGCATTAAGGGACTAAAACAAGGACTGGTCGTCTCGGAGTCAGTATACTGTGTCTGAGTTGGGTATTCATGTTAAACTGCAGCATGGTATTTCAGTAGGCTAGCACTCTAAATCGACATCAGTCCGGACTAGCATAAGCAGAGACAGACTGACAGACAGACAGACAGACAGACAGACAGACAGACACGCATACACGCACGCACACACACACACACACACACACACACACACACACACACACACACACTACCAGGTACCCATTCATTGCTGGAGGGACCGTCTCCGTGGTCTAGTGGTATAGCGTCCGCCCGGAGAGCGGAAGGCCCGGGGTTCGATCCCTGACTGCGTCATACCAAAAGACGTTAAAAGATGGTACTTGTTGTTACCCTGTCTGGCGCTCGGCATTAAGGGGCTAAAACAAGGACTGGTCGGCTCGGAGTCAGTATACTGTGTCTGAGTGGGGTATTCATGTTAAACTGCGGCATGGTATCTCAGTGAGCTAGCACTATAAATCGGCATCAGTCCGGGCTAGTACAAGCAGACACACACACACACACACACACACACACACACACACACACACACACACACACACACACACACACACACACACACACACACACACACACACACACACGTCGCTATATAAGGGCAATAATTTTGGAAGCTGGCGGTGGGGTAGGCTCATGGTTAAAGTGTTGGCTCGTCACGCCGAAGACCTGGGTTCAATTCCCCACATGGTCCATTTCTATCGTCCCCCGCCGTGATATTGCATGAATATTGCTAAAAGTGGCGTGAAACCACACTCACTCACATAGGGAATCTCTATTCGGAGTTAACTCCACTTAGAGTGCTGTAAGGCCAGTGATAATTTAATTAACTGCAGTTGTTTTGCTTTAAAATAATTAATTTACTACTTCTAGAAATATTGCTAAACAAAAAAAGCATTGCTTAATCTCGAATGATATTCATCCAAACATCTTGGTTTCAATTGCTGGCTTGATTTTCTTGTAAACACAATTCCCCGTACAACATTGTGGAGTTACCTCCCCTCACAGAGACTCTCACTCCAACTTGACAAGGTTGTCATACAGGAATGAAATCATAAGGAAGAGAAGTTATGGATGTCAACTTCTTTATTATGAGGAACACAACGTTTAGGAGTATATGCTTACTCCTTCATCATTCACCTCATATACGCTGAAATGTTGTGTTCCTCATCATAAAGGGGAGCGGTTGGGTAGCCTAGTGGTTAAAGCGTGCGCTCGTCACGCCGATGACCCGGGTTCGATTCCCGACATGGGCACAATGTGTGAAGTCCATTTCTGGTGTCCCCCGCCGTGATATTGCTGGAATATTGCTAAAAGTGGCATAAAACCATACTCACTCACTCACTCACTCACTCACTCACTCACTCACTCACTCACTCACTCACTCACTCACTCACTCACTCACTCATAAAGAAGTTGACATCCATAAATTCTCTTCCTTATGTGTATTCTTAGGTGTATCACTTCTAAAGACCTAAGTAATAAATACTTCATCCAGAGGGAAAAACAAATTATTTCATCATATTTATGTGAGTAATTTAAATAGTCCCTATTTAACATGTAACAAAGTACTGGTAAGAGAAACCAGCCTTGTAACTGGAGGAGATAACGTTTCAGTTGACCATGTGACCTACGATTGTTGTAAGAGGCAACGAGGGGATTGGGTGGTCAGTCTTGGTGACCCGGTTCATTTGCGTGTCATCATATCCCAATGAGGTGGATTGTTGCCGATGATGGCACTGATTTGTCTCGACCAGACTCAAATATTTACAAGCCACTTTCATATTGCTGGAATATTGCTGGAATATTGCTGAATAAGGTATTAGACAACTAACAAAGCAAACTTAGCAAACTTGATAAAAATAGTCTGTGGTAAATGAAAAAGTTACTCCATTAAGTGGAGGGGCGGTCGGGTAGCCTAGAGGTTAAAACGTTCGCTCGTCACGCCGAAGACCCGGGTTCGATTCCCGACATGGGTACAATGTGTGAAGCCCATTTCTGGTGTCCCCCGCCGTGATATTGCTGGAATATTGATAAAAAGCGGCGTAAAACCATACTCACTGACTCACTCACTCCATTGAGTGGAGCCTTCTGTTGTTCCTTCAGCCTGCAGGGGTAGAATAGGTCTCAGCAACCCATGCTTGCCGTCAGAGGCGACTATGATTGTCGTAAGAAGCGACTAACAGGATCGGGTGGTCAGTCTCGCTGACTTGGTTGATGCATGGTATGGTATTCCAATTGCATGGATCAGTGCTCATGATGTCAATCACTGGATTGTCTGGTCCAGACTCCATTATTCACAGATCACCATCATATAGCTGGGATATTGCTGAGTGTGGCAAAAACAAAAAACAAGCAAACAAACAAAAAAGACCTTTAGCCAGCATGTGGTCACTTTTGAACAGCATCAATTAATTGGTAATTCATAACATTTTGTATAACCCGGCTGAAGTGACATAATTGTTAGGAAATTCATGTGACTGAATGAGATCTTTCATTTATTGTAATTCTTCAGTAAAGCCTTCATAGACAGTCCCCAGACCCTATTTTTCTGACGGTGAAGGATTTGGTTGGTGGGCTTAATTATTAACACAGAGAGAGCAAGTGTGTCTTTAGGTGTTAAATAAAGAATACTCTTTGATCTCATCTGGTGGCCACTTTCCCCTGATTATTTTTCTAGGTTTGTCAGCACCATACCCCTGCTCATGGGTTTCACTAAAGTGGTAAACATCTGAGACCTACATCTCTTCAGGCTTTCGTCCCACATCAAGCTGACACGCCGTGATATAACTGGAAAACCGTTCAAAGAGGTGTTAACTCCAACTCACTCACTCACTCACTCACTCACTCACTCACTCACTCACTCACTCACTCACTCACTCACTCACTCACTCACTCACTCACTCACTCACTCACTCACTCACTCACTCACTCCTACTTATTTTGACGAGACAGTATGGGGAGACAGTATGGGTCTTGTGACCAGGAATTGTGAACAAACTCGGGAACAACCTCTCCCACTATATCTGCAGATGATACATTACTGACCTAACATTCAACATCCAAAATCCACGACACTGAAGTACAGTCTGGACTTCAGCTACTCTATAGAGTCCAAAGCCCAAGCCTTGTCAAATTTCTCCTGGTCTAGTAACATCACTTTGTACTAGTCCATATGCTAATAATTCTTCTGAAATTTATGTCAACACACGAGCCAGCTGACTTGACAGTTTTTTGCACAGACTGCAAGTATCAAAAGTGAAACAATTCAAGTTGGTTTAGATAACAGTGATTCAGTAGTAAGGCTTGTTGTGTCTTCTTGCTGTGTCACACGGGGAGAATGTGTTTTGAGACAGTTTTTATCTTTTCAGGGATGTGTGTATTGCCAAGTTCGGCAAAGCGCCTCATGTGAAACTGAACGGCCATCTGAATGCTACGTTCCCGTACATCGCGCCCCCACTGGATTACATCCTTACTGAGCTCATCAAGAATGCTATGAGGTGACAGCGCAACTCAGTTTTTAATGAATAGTTATTTTTTAGTCCTGTTATGGAATTGGCCAAACATCCATTGTAATGTCTGGCAAGATGTGGAAATAAGATGAGTGTTTCTGTGAGAGTTTCATGAAAAATTGATGTATTTCCAAAACAAAACAATATGCTCATGCTCGTGGGTTAGACCAGTCAGCCCTCTAAATGGCGACCATTTTGGTGGCTAATATAAGGGTAACGCTATTTTTCATGGCATTATCATTTGCAGAAGCCTGAGGTCTTCGATTAACTGCCCTGAAAAATAGCGTTACCATTATTATAGCTACAATGGATGCAATTTGTTATCAAATAAAAAGAAAAAACTATCGGTTTTGAAACATTTACAGCAATCAACACGAATGTCACTGACCCACTTTTACAAATAGGGAAACGTCATAGAACAAACCAGATGATGTCACTATTGAACGTGACGTCACCTATCCCTATCCTATGATGCACCTAACAACGGGCGTGATAATGGCCCGTCGTCAAGCAATATGAGGGCATTATCAAGTTACAGTGGCCCGCTCATTTTTGATAACCTTGCGGGCGGTTTAATGATAATTCTATCCATATTTGCTATAATTCTGCTTAAATCTATGATTGGCGACCTAAATGTATCTACTGCTCGCCACCTGGCTTCCTAAAAGTAAATATGACTGGCGACAATATCTGATTAAGATATCTGTTGGCACCCAAAATCTTCAGTTTGGCTCCTAAAATATTCATGTAACAGAATAACGAGTTTTGAGTGCTGTCAGAATGTTACAACTCTGAGACCTACACCCCATTCCGGGGGCACGGGTGGCCCAGTCGTCTAAGGTGCCGCGATTCGCTGTGCAGGGTTGCATCCCTTGGGCACGCCAGAAACCTATGGTTGTGGGATCTAATCCCAGTTCGCCCTGATTATATTTCTAGGTTTGTCAGCACCATACCAGTGCTCGTGGGTTTCACCGAAGTGGTAAACGTCTGGGACCTGCATCACTTCGGGCTTTCCTTCCACATTAACCTGACACGCAGCGATATAACTGGAATACTGTTAAAAGCATCGTTAAACCCAACTCACTCACTCACTCACTCACTCACTCACTCACTCACTCACTCACTCCACCCCATTCCAGCTTTCCTCCCACACTGACATGCAGTGTTAGGCTCAAGTACTGTTCAAGGCAGTGTTAGGCTCAAGTACTGTTCAAGGCAGTGTTAGGCTCAAGTACTGTTGAACGCAGTGTTAAACTCGGAGCTTGGTTTCAGGGCAACAGTGGAGTCCCATCTTGATGCTCTGCATGGTCTCCCGGACATCTACATCACCGTGGCCAGCAGTGAGGAGGAGTTTGTCATCAGGTACGTCGTCTTTATGTTGTTGTGTCACCATAGTTATTCGTCAGCAACATGCTTGACCTTTACAGCAGTTTCGGCAGCTTGACTTCTGAGAGTTTCCTTCCCCACACTGAAGCACATGTAACACATGTGGCATCTCCTTGGGCACGTGACTTTGTTCGAAATCCAGCAGTGAATGGGTATCCGGTGGGTTGTTAACCTGCTAGAGCCTAGCATGCAGCTTAGGTTGTATTCTGTCCAAGGAGCTGAAAATGATTCTTGAGTGCACACTGATCCAGTGATCAGGGTAATAATAGCGCTTTGAGCATGTTCCTGAGTGTTGTGGAAATATGCGCAATATAAATGGCTGTTCTGAAGACATGTTTGTTCATTAAAAATGTGCTCAAAAACGTACCCGGAGCCTATAGATCGTGTTCACGTGCAGTCGTGTTAGTTTTAAATAAAGAATCTGTTCTCCAAAAAGCACCCGATGCATAACGATCGCATGGCTTGAACACACCAAAGTATGGCTGTGACTGCACGTGACATGTGAGGGTTGTGAGCAAATATAAGGCGGTAGCGCGCATCAGTTAGTTAGTTGGTCAGAGTTTTAGAGAGAGTTGGTCAGAGTTCGTTAGAGAGCTGGTTAGTTAGATGGTGTTAGACATGGCATTAGACAGTGTTAGACAGTGTTAAGACTCCCTTAGGCATGTTAGGAGTAACTGTTAGAATTAGCATTAGTTTCTTTCATTTGAGGTTTATTCATCTTTCCTTCACATAATAACAGGTAATCACGTTAAGTTCCTTATAGATGTTCATAGTTTTATAATAGGTTATCACGTTTAATTCCCCATTTCAAAAGGTAAGTCATACAAATTTAAGATTAGTTTTCATTTAAGTTAAACCATGCTCAAATATTCAGGTCCACTGCACAACAATGGCCTATTATTATTATTATTATTATTATTATTATTATTATTATATTATTATTATCTTTGTGGTATAAAAACGGGGGACGCATAAAACCCCATGTACTTCTCCTGATCCTGCTACAACGGATTTATCTTACCGACATGTTTTAAAATGACATTGTAAAAGAATTCGAACAAATTCAAAATTGATAGAAAACAGCTGTTGGTTAACTTGCGCTATGTCACATGACTTCCATTGACTCAGTGCAGCTTTTTGCTTTGAAGTGGATTTATTCTGCCTCTCAGAGATCTATGTGCAGCCTGTATTGCTCATGGCGGGGTATAAGAGATATATTCCCTCGCTGAGAAATTTATTACCCTCCAAGGTGGGTAACACAGTATTTTATCAAGATCACGTGGACCAATCAGATCTCATCATTCTGATGTGGAGGTGTGATAATGTTGAGTGTACCTTGCTCACGATCCCTTACGTATCAGAGTACTTGCATGGGCTCTCATCTGGGTACGTAAGCCATCTTTTTCGTAGACAGGATGGCCAAACCAACAATTTACATTTGGCAGTGTCAAGTATCCCGCAATGGATGAAAATATTTACGTTTTCACTACTCATTTTCACTAGTAATTATCCCCTGCCCAACAAAGTTGGCAGGGGAATATAGAAACGGGCTCCATCCGTCCGTCCGTCACGTTTCGTTTCCAGAGCATAACTCATAAACCGTTCAAAATTTTTTCATCAAGCTTTGCCTGTCAGGTACATGCTGAACTGGTACCTTTTGCTTTTTAGAAATTTTAGAAATTTTTATTTTTTTATATTTCCATGGCAGCAAGATGGACTTAGGTTCCAAACTCTATTTTTTTTACAATTTCCATGACAAGTTCCTCCTCGGTTAAAAAAGGTTAGGGTTTGTTTAGATTTAATTATGTCATAAATTCTGCAACAGGGGCGGGGGATATAGCCGCGTTAGTGGCAAACTCTTGTTAAGGTTTGATGTAACATTTCTGAAAGAATACATTTGATATAAGATTTGATACTTTTTATTTAGTGTAGGCGACTGTGATCTATACTTTTATCAAGAAGTTAAAAGCCGCGATCAATCAATGTATCGCTTTATCGTACCACCATTAATGTTTAATAATATTCTGTTAATGATGACCCTGAATACACAGAGACAACGTTTCAGTTTCTCACATGGCACTAATAACAATGTCTCGATATTGACGAGAAACAGGCCCGAGACCATGAAATATGTGTTAATTTATCGACAACCCTGCTGAGATTTCCGGTTACAATAGGCCCAAGAAAAATATGTTCGTGCAAGAGCTGATTGTATGTGACTGGTTGATCCAGCCTCCATTGCCAGTCTACAGGTAACAGTTGGGCTTCGGTCTAGTGGCTTCAGCCTCCATTGCCGGTCTAGTTAACGGTTGGGCTTCGGTCTAGTGGCTTCAGCCTCCATTGCCGGTCTAGTTAACAGTTTGGCTTCGGTCTAGTGGCTTCAGCCTCCATTGCCGGTCTAGTTAACAGTTTGGCTTCGGTCTAGTGGCTTCAGCCTCCATTGCCGGTCTAGTTAACAGTTTGGCTTCGGTCTAGTGGCTTCAGCCTCCATTGCCGGTCTAGTTAACAGCTGGGCTTCGGTCTAGTGGCTTCAGCCTCCATTGCCGGTCTAGTTAACAGCTGGGCTTCGGTCTAGTGGCTTCAGCCTCCATTGCCGGTCTAGTTAACAGTTTGGCTTCGGTCTAGTGGCTTCAGCCTCCATTGCCAGTCTAGTTAACAGCTGGGCTTCGGTCTAGTGGCTTCAGCCTCCATTGCCGGTCTAGTTAACAGTTGGGCTTCGGTCTAGTGGCTTCAGCCTCCATTGCCGGTCTAGTTAACAGTTGGGCTTCGGTCTAGTGGCTTCAGCCTCCATTGCCGGTCTACAGGTAAAAGTTGGGCTTCGTTCAATCTCATTCAAATCAGATCTTAGTTCTCGCTACCGCTAAACAAAGATCTGAGGACATCCCTTTAGGGGTCATGTTAGAACCACCTTTCATCTGCTCAATCAGAGCATCACTTACGAGATCATGAAAGTGACAGTCGGAATGTGATTTCTAATCATGCAACCTCGAAAGCTTTAACAAGGGGTATTACAAACGATAGTTACGGGCTTAGAAACTGAATCCAACAGTACTGAATCTTTTTGTTTGTGGGGCGGTGCTGTAGCCTGGGGGTTAAAGTGTTTGTTCATCACACAGAAGACCCAGGTTCGATTCCCCACAGGTGTACATTGTGTGAAGCTCATTTCTGGTGTCCCCTGCCGTGATATTGCTGGAAGCAGCATAAGACAATCCTCACTCTCTTAGGGCTGGGACGGGTAACTCGGGTACCCGGGTCGGGTGGGTACTGAGTAGGACCTGGGTACCCACAGGACTTCCCGGACCCGTGGTTAGAAATGTGACATAAAGTTTATTGAAAAAATTATCTGAAACTCTATGGTTACACTACAAGTCGTGAATGTTGCATTTCTTCCTGACTATGCTGTCAACGGGCATGTTGACGGGGAATTAGCTCTTGGGGGAATAAAGGACAAAATCGACATCACTGTCCCAGAACGCTTTATGCACAACATGTAAACAATAAACAACAATTGCAAAATGAGCGGAATACCTGCTCTGACAACACAAACACAGCGATGAGCGGACCTTCCAGCTCAGGCATACAAGAGGTGAGTGGAGCTCCAGCTCAACTCAGGGCGTTTCCTATGAGCGGCACATCCTGCTCGAGGTCATCCCTACACCAGCACTTGGAATACCAAGCTTTACTAACACTGTAGTAACTGTGTAATGGTAGCACAAATATAGTTATGAACAACAATGGAAATACAATGACGTTGCTCTGGACTACGGACTTCTGGCGATGACGTACCGACACAACTCAGGGGATGAACAATTAAGGCAATAAATGTCATACTATAAATAACAGTAATTAACGGGAAGTGATAAAGTAGCCCAGTTTGGCTGTCAGTCAATATATAATGAAATGTTGGTGAGGATTAACAACGGGGATTAGCGCCTAAAACGTAATGACAATTAAGTTATGGAGACATGGCTACAGGGTAATTTGCCCTTGGAGTCAAATGTACCTCAGACAATGGTAGTCCTAAATCAGTCGCTATGACAATGCACCCATTCCTTCTGACTTTTTATATGGTCGAATAAAGATATAGCTTAAGTCAACTTCAGTGTATGCATGACCAGATCGTTTAATACATGTATCTTAATATGTTTTGCATGTGCTGTGGTAAATAGAAATCCCAATCGGACGCTTTGTATCTCTTGAGACCTACGCCGAAGACCCGGGTTCGATTCCCGACATGGGTACAATGTGTGAAGCCCATTTCTGGTGTCCCCCGCCATGATATTGCTGGAATATTGCTAAAAGCGGTGTAAAACCAAACTCCCTCACTCACGCTTCATCAGCTGAATACTAATGTTTGTTTGTTTGTTTGTTGTTTAACGCCGCACTCAGCAATATTCCAGCTGTGGACGGTGGTCTGTAAAAGGCCCAGAAACTTAGTGACAAACAATAGAGAGAGGTTATCACACAAGTGTGTTTGGGAATCAGGACTATCCTGTATTAGGAATAAACATGGTATTTAGCGAGCCTTGGCGACCTTTGACAAAACAATGTGTTGCTGTTCATACCTATTTACATATTAATGGAAGCATTTTTTTCCAACATGGCTTGATAATTAAACGTACATCAACATGATCTAAATTTACATATATGTGTATTCTACATATATAGTGTATAAAGGTGTATGTGAAGTGTATATATAAAGTACGGACGTAGCTACCGAGGGGCCTGGGGCGGTCGGGTAGCCTAGTGGTTAAAGCGTTCCCTCGTCACGCCGAAGACCCGGGTTCGATTCCCAACATGGGTACAATGTGTGAAGCCCATTTCTGCTGTCCCCTGCCGTGATATTGCTAGAATATTGCTAAAAGCGGCGTAAAAACATACTCACTCACTCACTCACCGAGGGGCCTAGATGGGTCAGTGGTCTATGGTGCTTTAGTTGAATGTTCAGAGTTCATCCATGATCTGGTGAGAATTAAACTGACGGATTGCGACCAATCCACTCGCCTGTTCAACCTGTAGTTGTCAGTGTGCCCTATGGACTAGAGGGACTATTTGTTTCATATCAAATATACATGGTCACCTCCATGGTCTAGTGGATGGAGCCCAGACAGCAAAAGGTTGGTGGTTCAATCCCTAGCCGCATCATACCAAAAGACGTTAAAAAATGGTACTTTTTGGATGAGGGATCGTGGGGTAGATTCCCCAAAAATGTACAATGTGTGAAGCCCTTTTATCATCCAAAACTGGTTCCCACATGACATATTGCTTGGGTGAGATCAAGCGATATCTACATTGTAGATATTGCTGTTATAAATCTTTTGGTTGAAAATTCAGTTTAAGAATGCTATTGAACACATAGCAACACATGTTCATATATTTGATATCAAAAGTCCCTCGGATGAGATTCTCTATTTCTGGGGTCCCCTGCCGTGATATTGCTGGATTATTTCTCAAAGCAGCGGAAAACCTCACTCACTCTAGACATGATGTATGATCCACACAATTACCGAGAAACTACAAGAGTATCCGTTTTTAGAACTATGTACAATTTATTTCACTGTAAGCCACATAACAGGATTTGTAAAAATGTGTTGAATTGTTTAGAAAATAGAAAATGCAGCTACAGGGGTTGTCTTACGTTGACACAGTTCAATACAAGCTTGTACCTCGTCACACTGAGCCTCTGTGTAGCAATGTGTCTCACTTAATGTATACAGTCAACATACTACATTTGCTTTGTCAAAAGGGTGTGTGAGCTGACAAGGCAGGGGTAATCTGTGTTTAGTTCAGCACCCGTCTACACCGCGGTAGTTCTGTTACTGAACACGTCTTCACTGACCTGGTCAAGTGCATAGTCAACAATGAACACAACCAATCGCTATTTGATTCACTTTGAGCCTGGAGGACTCGTCTCTGTAATGAGTCGTTCTGAAAACGATATCTCCGACGATGACAGTTGCTCATCCCCTTCCTTGTGGCCACTAGTCACTGAATGTTTCCTGGTCTGCGTTTCACGGTGGTTTCTACGACCAGAACTTATTTGTATTGGTGGTAACGGAACTGGACCCTCATGAGAAATAATATCGGGTGAATCCATGGTTGTATTGTAGTCTGAGAAGAATTCTGCATCCGATTCATACTGCTCCCGTGTGTAGTCCAGTTGGTTGAGATGTTGAGAGTTACCTCCCTTACCTTTCCTTTTGTGCCGAGGAGTTCCAATAGAGGGCAGAATGGAATACTTCTTTTCTTGAACTTGGTGTTCTTGAATGTAATCAAGGGGGTCCGATATTTCCTTTGGTTTCATTGTAAAATTGTCTCTAGGAGTTGAACTGAAGCATGGACCAGTATTCTCTTGTGCCGTGGGCGTAGTTTGAACACCTGATCGCCGAGAATATTCAACAAGTGTGTTTTCCCTGCTTAGTCCGAGATCAGGAGGAAGGTTGAGTCGGGGCACCAAGCTATGTGGGTTCGGGATTCGGGGCATGGGAGAGTATGTTCTGCTCTCCACATCGTGACTTACAGACGGTCTTCTCCTCAGCAGCACGTCGTGTTTCATCACAGACTCACCCCGACAATACATCGACTGACTGCTGTTAGGCTGCAATGTCTGTAACTGCTGCGTGAAGGCCAACCGGTGCTGTGGAACAGACGAACCAATATTCTCCAGATTCAAACCCTTTTCTCGAGGGGATGGAGCAACATCCATCTCTCTCCTGCCTCTTTCACTATAGAAGGCTGCATTGTATTTAAGTCTCTGCTCGTCTTCTTTCGAGCTCTTCAACCTCCGACTTAGGTTTCTGGCACTTGGAAGTTGGGTATATGTTTCCGAAGGAACCACGTGGACAGAATCAGCTGGTCTCCTGTTCTGTGGTATAATCATAGTGTGGTCTGGGAATGGAGAAATATTTTCACAAACAAGTTCCGGACTTTCGTGATTGGGTCTGACATGATGCGGTTTGTTTTGTCTGCTTCTGTGCGACTTGTGTTGAGCCCATGTGGTTTGTGAACGCTCCACTCGGGGTAAGGTGTTTTCAGAGTACCCAAAGCTGTGGTTGTCATCAAAACTACGACTCATCTTGACAGCAAACAAAACCGGAAAATGAGTTGAAGCTGAAATATAGAAATGAATTCACAATATTCATAGCACAAAATATTTGAAGAATTTCACTACATTTACTACATCAGAAATAAATTTGACTGAAAACAGTTACGATCTATAGGACAATAGTGATGAGTTAATCTTGGTGATAATAGTTCTGTGTGATAACAGTAAAATGCGATTGGTTAATCTTGGTGATAGAAGTTCTGTGTGATAACAGTATTATGCTACAACTATCAGTTGTAACATGAAACCCAATTCCCAAATCTTTATTTATCATTTACATTGAGAAAGTCATAAATAATTAATCTCTTGGTTCAGTATTGACATGAATGAAGGTTCATGTTTCTCATATCTATGGCGATCTGTGTATGCGAGATCAAGCTCTAGCTGCCCTGTGTGAGGAGCCAGGGAGCTCGGCTTACATCAGGTGGTGCAAACTCGGCTGTATCCACCCAATTACAGCTTCTGGTCACTGAGTACTGGATGTTTACTGGATCATTAAAAGGTTGCATGATCCCCTGCAGAGTGAAACTATTCTCCACTCAAACAGTATTGATTTGGGCAGGTTTTGTTGATCCCCTGTCGACAGAAACTATTCACCACACAAACTGTTGATTTGGGCAGGTTTTGTTGATCCCCTGTCGACAGAAACTATTCACCACACAAACTGTTGATTTGGGCAGGTTTCTTTATCCCCTGTCGACAGAAACTATTCACCACACAAACTGTTGATTTGGGCAGGTTTTGTTGATCCCCTGTCGACAGAAACTATTCACCACACAAACTGTTGATTTGGGCAGGTTTTGTTTTGTTTTGTTTGTTGTGTTATGCTGAAATATTCCTGCTTCATGACAGCGGCCTGTAAATAATCCAGCCTGGACCAGACAATCCAGTGATTGATATTATGAGTAACATCCCAAGCAATCTCTCTTTGCGCTACCCCTCCATCCCCTGTTCCTTCAGGCGTGAAGGGGGCCAGTGAAAGGAAGCAATAAGGGTCAAGTTATCACAACACAAGTCTTGCTATCGTCCATGAATACAGTGCACAGTTATCTCCCCTGGGCTGGGCAGGATAGGGTCCTGTATTCTGATACTGGTATCTTTTATAACCTGAACTTTGGAGCACAGTTGGAATTATGTTTTGTTGGTGTGATCTTGAGAATGGTATTATTTTATCCCCATGTTTTGAAGTTAACAGTTATTGTGTCATCTTGCTATTGTGGGTATTGTGTAATGACATCTTAATTAGAATGTTAGTAAATGTTTAGAATTGGTCCCCAGTAGCCCATGTTTGCCTTTGGGGTGACTAAACTGGATCATGTGATAAGGCTCTTTGACCTTGCTGATTGCGTGACCTGATTGCATGTCATTGTGCCCCGATGGCGTGAGTCAATGCTCATGCTGTTGATCACTAGTCAGTCTGGTCCCGGAGTTGATAATTAACAGACCTTCGTGATTCAGCTTGAATATTACTGACTGCAGCATTGAACAATATTCACTCACCAACTCTATGAGAACATTGTGTATTCACCTTATCAGTTTGATAATGTTTCACAAATAAGTTTGCGTTTCACATGTAGCTGTCATTACAAGTTTCATATGGCATTAGAGAACGCTGTTTTATGTCCTGTAATAGATTTTTAGACATGTCATTGTGGTCACCTAGGGACTGTTGGCGTAAACATACTGACAACTAACACCTGTGTATTTGTCTGTAAAGAGGGGAGTGGTGCGGTAGCCTAGTGGTTCAAGCGTTCGCTCGTCCCGCCAAAGGCCAAGGTTTCGATTCCCCCTTGGGTACAAAAGTGTGAAGCCCATTTCTGGTGTCCCCCGTCGCGATATTGCTGGAATGTTGCTAAAACGGCGTAAAACTCTCACTCACACATTCAAAGAGGCATTAAAACACTACATCATAGTCCTTACAACTTTCATTCAGAGTGCTTGACCTTACTGACAGTACTTTAAATGCTAAAGAGTAATTGGGCTGCTTTTAATGCTACCAAAAGATCTGTTTAGGCTGAAGAGTAGTCCTGCACCATGACCGTGGAATATATTTATTTTATGAAAAAATAATAATCTAGAAATGCATACAAAAGCAAGTCTAGCCAGCTCAAGCTAGCATAGGGAATTTTTTTATTTTTAGAGTCAAGAAGGATATTGTGTAATATAAGATTTCAGAGACTAAGTGTTAGTCTAGCCGAAGAGGGAAAATGGGACGTACCTTGTTGTGATGGACACACCAGTTATTCCAGTTGAGGTTGCCAGGGGTTTCTGTAGACCTTCCACATGCTGTAGACGGGGTTGTGTATGGAGTATATTGCAGTCAATTAACACAAGCAGCCTTGGGGAAAATGGCCCACTTTATATACTGAATACTATGGCAGTGTTTTTACATAACTGATGAATATCAAATTCTTCATCACTTGTCCAGTGTTGTTATAAGTTGCATGAATGAGCTATCAGTGTCGACACAGCTCCATGAGTATGATACGAGACCGTATGTACCTGCTGTCCATGGTATATCAGTACCCTGAGAAGCAGGGGATACGACACTCAGTGATGGATATCTGTACCGTGAAGAAACAACACAGACCGGGATGGGTGGAAGCAAGTGTCAGCAATTGGAGGATTTACGTCTTCTCCAGGAATAGGTTGTATTTCAGTCTTCTGAAGTGTGTGTTCGTGAAGGTTCTTCAAAGCTGAGTGAATATGCTCCTTCTCATGTGTGTCCCACTTGAAATGTACCTTGTCAACCGTCTGTTTCATTGGGTCTTGTCAGGGTATTACACAATCACATGAGTTTGTGACTCCTGAAAGTGTTTCCTCTATGGCTTGTTCTCATGGCAGGGTGATTTGGCCAGTATGTGTCAGGGATTTATCTAGGCCTGCTCAGAGATTGATGAAGTCTGCAGTCAATGGCAGGACGAGTTTCCAAATTGGAATTATGAATTTCCCAATTCATGTACTTGTAGGTATTACCAGTGATAACCAATGTTATGGCTTTGTAGAGTTGACTCGTATTACACTGATTACAGGACCAATAAAGAATTTCAAAAAGGGTTTAGAGCTTATTTTTCACAATTGCATTGAATGCTATGTGAAAACAACTCCTAATTTGAGAAAATGAAAACATTAACAAAAATCCTAATTTTGAAAATAATAAGTTTGGAATCCTAGATAAGTCCTGGGTGCGGTTGTTGATTGGTCTTCATGAATGTTGTAACTTCAGTGTAGACAACTTCGCAGTAAAAGACAGCGCCATCTACTGTCCCAGCCTACAGCCTCCACTATGTCTCTGTGCAGCAGCCATCACTCACACACTAGCTTCCACACAACGGACACTTGAACCAAGCTGATAATCCACATGCAGGCTTTTGTTGAAATCCACCCCACTTGTCCTGAGCTGCTTGGAGTACTTCTTACCTGCAAACTAATATTGTAACAATGTAGAGGTTATCAACACCTGAACTCAGCAGTAGCTGCAAGTACAGTTGACGGTTGTTAGGCAGACAGGACCACAAGGAAACAGGGGAGTCCATTGTTACATCAGATATATGAGATGAAGGGGACAGAATTATATTTTGGAATCTGTATGCTACTGTACAAAGTTACACGTGATGTTGTAAAATAACTATTACTTCTATCAGTGATAGTCCTTATAATGATAACATATTGCATAACCCTTAAAAAGGGCAATTTTTCTACTAGTCCTTAGGATACCTTAACTATTGGGCAGTTTAGAAAGGACCCCAGGACTAGTGTGAATTTTGAATGCTGTCTATGATGAGATATGTCCAACATCTGTTTGATGCTGTATCGATGCTGGGGTTGTTGTCACACCTTGACCCCAGAAGCGTCACAGAAGCACCGTGGAACACTCATCTGACTCACTCAAGCACTTGCTACTTACACATACTTACAGGGTAGGAAATACCTTGTATCAGAGCCCAAGTGGCTCAGTTGAATATTAGGACATGGTTACGGTACAGGCCTGCTGCCTTAAGGGCACACTTAACAATAATGCAGAAATGAAAAGACCACGCCAGTGACAAATGTCCTTTGCCAAAGTAGCCTGGACAGATGTTTAAAATGAACATACTTCATAGAATGAATAGGATGTCAGAAGTAGAAATTGGCACTAGTCCTGTAGTCCTTGCCAAACTACCCAATGGTTAAGGTATCACAAGGACTAGTAGAAGTATGCCATTTTTAAGGGTTTTGCTATATATTATGTTATCATCATGGACTAAAAATGTTAGTTTCTACCACTGGATGTTATTTAGTTCAAGGAAAATGATGGAGGGACACTTTCTGTATCCCATTCACTTATTGTCTAGTGTGGTGAAATGACTTTCACCAAGACTTTAGTGGATCATAAGTCGTCTTCTTTGAACACTAGAATTCCTAAAGGCACACCTCAACCTGTGCATTGTAAAACACCAACATTTGTACCCTCACCTTGGTAAGGCCCATGAACCTTGCAGCACAGGAGATCCTCTGCTGGCCAACACACGGTAACAGTGTTGCTGTTACTCAATCCCAGGCAGGTAATAATACCCTGATCCAATCACACGGCTAGCCCACGGTCACATGTCAAGGAGTAATGTACTGACATTGGTTATCATCAGGTAAATCACACAGCCTTGTAATCAGTGAAACCTGCTTCAAATACTTCAGTGGGAATAAGGGTGTCGGTTACAATTCCTGCTGGAATAAGATGAGATATTCAGCTGCATCTATTATTGATGGTGGTTGGTGTTCAGTGGCAATAAGATTGGGATCAGCTCATAGTCGAATCAGTTTGAGAGTCGGGGATTAACAGCAACTTGTCACATTAGCATGTTTATTACAAGTGATGGCAGTCATAGATCTATGAATAGAATACCACATGTCTACTGTCTGTGACATCAGCTACAAGTCCAAAAGGGACGGTCGGGTAGCCTAGTGGTTAAAGTGTTCGCTCGTCACGCCGAAGACCCGGGTTCGATTCCTGACATGGGTACAATGTGTGAAGCCCATTTCTGGTGTCCCCCGCCATGATATTGCTGGAATATTGCTAAAAGCGGCGTAAAATCATACTCACTCACTTCAAGTCCAAAGCCTGGGTCTAAGGCGTTAGGAAGTAAACTTTGTTTGCAATATTCCAGCTATATGTTACCAGTTTCAAACTTGCGACTTACATACCAGACTATACTTTTTAAAGTATTTTGAATAAGTAATACAGCCTGTATCAGTAGTTTTGTGTTAAACTTTAGAGGTTGCATGATTAGAAAGCACATTCTGCTTACAATGTAACATAACAGTATGAATATTTATTTTTTATTGTTTTTTTTTATTATGTCTTTGAATTGTTATCGATCATGTAGTTGTCTGATTTTCGATCACAAACGTTGATACTACTTAATTTCATTTATCCGACATACTCGTTAATCCGGCATAATCATATGCAACCATCGATGTCGGATTAACGGGACTTGACTGCATATGACTGTATATGACTGTTTGGGTAGATTAGATTGTGGTAGTGTGGTAAGCGCTGACATTGGCTTCTCCACCTGTGTTGAACTGATATGGTACGTCATATGAATTATTAACGACACTGGCCTTGGTGATTTGCGTCCTGGTGATGAGGTGCATCTGTTTCTCTAAATAGGAGGAATTATTGATACGATCTATCAGCAGTCACATCACTAGGATCATGTACATTGCTCTGGATCGTCTGTCAGATCACATTAGTCACGTTGGATGAAATGTTGTGGTACAACCTTGGTGCACTGTATGTATACTGATCAAAAGAAGTGCCATGGCAAATTAACTATTGTCATAGAAAAAAATCAGCTGTTCTTAAACTTCTTTTGAGTTGTATACAGTAAGAGTGGTCATTCTTCACTTTATTGTGACCCGTGAAATACAGGGTAGAATAGGTCCGCAGCAACCCATGCTTGCCGTAAAAGGCCACTAACGGGATCGGGTGGTTTGACTCGCTGATTTGGTTGATGCACGTCATCATGTCCCAATGCGTAGAACGATGCTCACGTTGTCAGTCACTGGATTGTCTGGTCCAGACTCGATTATTTACAGAGCACCATCATATAGCTGGAATATTGGTGAGTGCAGCATGAAACAACAAACAAACATATCATTTTATTGTGGATAAAAATTTGATAGTATTTCTTGACGGAAAAAATTATTTGCTTATATTCAGAGGTAGCTGACATTGCATTCAATGCGTTAATGTAAAACTAGACTCTAGATGAGTCCTAGACTCTAGATGAGTCCTGTTGTTGGTTAATTACAAAGTCACCTCTACTAATCATAACATGAGAAATATATTAACAGGAATATTAACAGGGACATTTTAGTTCCAGTTTGGGAAGTTTTGTTGTCAAACTCAGTGCCGAATATTGGCCTCCAGGCTGGTGTACATAAATCCCTGTAGTATGTTGGTAGAGAATATCGGCCTCCTGGCTGGTGTACATAAAGCCCTGTAGTATGTTGGTAGAGAATATTGGCCTCCTGGCTGGTGTACATAAATCCCTGTAGTATGTTGGTAGGGAATATCGGCCTCCTGGCTGGTGTACATAAATCCCTGTAGTATGTTGGTAGAGAATATTGGCCTCCTGGCTGGTGTACATAAATCCCTGTAGTATGTTGGTAGAGAATATTGGCCTCCTGGCTGGTGTACATAAATCCCTGTAGTATGTTGGTAGAGAATATTGGCCTCCTGGCTGGTGTACATAAATCCCTGTAGTATGTTGGTAGAGAATATTGGCCTCCTGGCTGGTGTACATAAATCCCTGTAGTATGTTGGTAGAAAATATTGGCCTCCTGGCTGGTGTACATAAATCCCTGTAGTATGTTGGTAGAGAATATCGGCCTCCTGGCTGGTGTACATAAATCCCTGTAGTATGTTGGTAGAAAATATTGGCCTCCTGGCTGGTGTACATAAATCCCTGTAGTATGTTGGTAGAGAATATTGGCCTCCTGGCTGGTGTACATAAATCCCTGTAGTATGTTGGTAGGGAATATTGGCCTCCTGGCTGGTGTACATAAATCCCTGTAGTATGTTGGTAGGGAATATTGGCCTCCTGGCTGGTGTACATAAATCCCTGTAGTATGTTGGTAGAGAATATTGGCCTCCTGGCTGGTGTACATAAATCCCTGTAGTATGTTGGTAGGGAATATTGGCCTCCTGGCTGGTGTACATAAATCCCTGTAGTATGTTGGCCTCCTGGCTGGTGTACATAAATACCTGTAGTATGTTGGCATCCTGGCTGGTGTACATAAATCCCTGTAGTATGTTGGCAGAGAGTGAAAGGGGCAGACATTTTCTACTGCCATGAGTCGTAACACCTGTAATCATATCAGTTTAGGATATTGACTGGATTAGCTTGCTATTGTTTGATAACTGGTTTAGGGTTGATCTGTGCTTACTGCACTCGGGGACCATCTCAACAGTGACGTTCATGTTTTCAAGAAGTATTGCAGGACACACAGTAGTATGTCCAATAACTTTGCTTTCTGCACAAGGGGGCCATCTCCACAGTGACAATGCTATTTTCATGAGGCATTGCAGGACACATGAAGTATTCATTGGTATTCTGTGCAGAAACATTTGAACTAGTTTTCATGTAAATGCAAACTTTTAAGAGCATGATAGCTGCTGGAGGTGAGGTGGCTCAACTAATAGAGCCTTGGCATATCAACTCTCAAGCCCCGTGAGATTTTTACTAAAACTAGTGAAAGTCAAATCCAACCACACTCCCTCACTCACTTTAGGGACTGGTCATTTATTATTGGGTGTGTGTGGGGTGAGATTGCACTCAGGACTGTATCACATTTTGTTGACCCCCAATCTATGTAACATTTCTTCATGCAACCTCCCAATACATGACCCTCCTCCCTATGATAAATTACCAGAACCCAAATATATTTGCTTGATAACGGTGTAGGAACCTACCTAATTGTAATAAAGAAGTTGTTCATTCACATATCTTTCCTTACCCAACATGTACCGTGTATTGAAAGGGTACAGCTGTAATTTTTAAACAAATTTTAGACATTTCTAGTAATTCAAGCAATGCTGCTGTACTCGGTGTATTAGAAAGGTATCCGTTATGCTGTGTTTTGTTTTCACATGATAATGACAGAAGGCAAGCATGGGTCGGATTTGTTAGAAATATTTTGTTTGCACATGGGTATGGATTCCTTCAGTTAAATCAGGGTTATTGGAAACACGCAAAGAGTGTTTGTTTCTTCAGCTCACTGATTGAAAGATATATCATGTCTAAGAAACATTTTGACATTATGAACATTATGTTTCTTCGTGCAAAATATTTCCCCATTGTCTGAACTTAATACATTATTTACGATTTTAGCAACAGAATTTACTTAAGCATTTCTAAAATAACTGACTCTTTGCATTTACCAGATACTGTTCAGGTTGCAACACAACGTTACACTGTTCGTAAAATGTTAATGTTAGTTTCCGATGTAGATTACAAAGCCAAGTTAAAAGAAAGATATCGAAGATGAAGATCATTTTCTCTTGATCTTTCCTTTGTATGACATTCGAGGAGTCAGTATTTTAGGGCTGTGAAAGGACATTTTAATGTCATCAATATTATCAAAATTTGTGACAACCAACATGCATGGAAACTAGGTGCACTATAATTTTTTGGTTTCAGTGTGAGAAAACATTGGATTTTGAAAAACACCATGAATTGAATAAATAGCATTTGGTGATCATTCATATTGCTATTAATGTACAAAGGCGGACCTTTCATCAATGTATCGTTGTAAATTGTTCGTGAATTATGGAGGGCCTACATTTCTGGAATAAAGGGCATACATACTCACATAGAACAAAAGGGGCGGTCGGGTAGCCTTGTGGTTAAAGCATTCGCTCGTCACGCCGAAGACCAGGGTTCGATTCCCGACATGGGTACAATGTGTGAAGCCCATTTCTGGTGTTCCCCGCCGTGATATTGCTGGAATATTGCTAAAAGCGGCGTAAAACCATACTCACTCACTTACTCACTCACTCACTCACTCACTCACTCACTCACATAGAACAAAGACTCTCCTGAGCAGTTCTCAGTATATGAAGTTTAGTCTCAATTCTACCTTTCCAGCTACATTAAGCTGACACGCCGTGATATACTTGAATACTGTCCAAGGTGGCGTTAAACTGAACTCGCTCACTCACCAGCTGTGATTTCTTGCAGGATCTCGGACCGTGGTGGCGGTATCCCCCCGAAGGTCCTCGCTAAGGTCTGGGACTACAATTTCACCACCTCGGGGGCTGTGACTGACGACCGCGTGGATGGAGGTCTCTTCGGACAGATCATGAACACTGACAACTCCGGACCTGCGCCTGGCAAGATGCATGGGTAGGTACATCACGGACCTGCACTGGGGAAGATGGGTAGGTACATCACGGACTTGCACTGGGGAAGATGGGTAGGTACATCACAGACCTGCACTGGGGAAGATGGTAGGTACATCACAGACCTGCACTGGGGAAGATGGTAGGTACATCACGGACTTGCACTGGGGAAGATGGGTAGGTACATCACAGACCTGCACTGAGGAAGATGGTAGGTACATCACAGACCTGCACTGAGGAAGATGGTAGGTACGCATTAAGACAGACCTGCACTGGAGAAGATGGGTAGGTACACATTAAGACAGACCTGCACTGGGGAAGATGGTAGGTACATCACAGACCTGCACTGGGGAAGATGGGTAGGTACATCACGGACCTGCACCGGGGAAGATGGTAGGTACATCACAGACCTGCACTGGGGAAGATGGGTAGGTACATCACGGACCTGCACTGGGGAAGATGGTAGGTACATCACGGACTTGCACTGGGGAAGATGGGTAGGTACATCACAGACCTGCACTGGGGAAGATGGGTAGGTACATCACGGACCTGCACTGGGCAAGATGGTAGGTACATCACAGACCTGCACTGAGGAAGATGGGTAGGTACATCACAGACCTGCACTGGGGAAGATGGTAGGTACACATTAAGACAGACCTGCACTGGGGAAGATGGGTAGGTACACATTAAGACAGACCTGCACTGGGGAAGATGGGTAGGTACGTCACAGACCTGCACTGGGGAAGATGGTAGGTACATCACAGACCTGCACTGGGGAAGATGGGTAGGTACACATTAAGACAGACCTGCACTGGGCAAGATGGTAGGTACATCACAGACCTGCACTGGGGAAGATGGTAGGTACATCACAGACCTGCACTGGGGAAGATGGGTAGGTACACATTAAGACAGACCTGCACTGGGGAAGATGGGTAGGTACGTCACAGACCTGCACTGGGGAAGATGGGTAGGTACACATTAAGACAGACCTGCACTGGGGAAGATGGTAGGTACATCACAGACCTGCACTGGGAAAGATGGGTAGGTACATCACAGACCTGCACTGGGGAAGATGGGTAGGTACACATTAAGACAGACCTGCACTGGGGAAGATGGTAGGTACGTCACAGACCTGCACTGGGGAAGATGGTAGGTACATCACAGACCTGCACTGGGGAAGATGGGTAGGTACACATTAAGACAGACCTGCACCGGGGAAGATGGTAGGTACATCACAGACCTGCACTGGGGAAGATGGTAGGTACACATTAAGACAGACCTGCACTGGGGAAGATGGTAGGTACACATTAAGACAGACCTTCACCGGGGAAGATGGTAGGTACACTTTATGACAGACCTGCACTGGGGAAGATGGGTAGGCATACATTAAGCCAGACCTCTCTCAGTTTTCAGCTTATGGGGAATGAGAGTGACGTAAAACCACACTCACTCACTCACTCACTCACTCACTCACTCATTATCGAACTAATATAGCAAAGAGGAGGCATCATATCGTCACCATAACGCAGCTAACAAACAGCTGGTGTTTCAGGTACGGCTTCGGCCTACCCACAGCCCGGGCTTATGCTGAGTATCTTGGAGGCCGCCTCACCCTGGAAACGCTGGAGGGCATCGGCACGGATCTCTACCTGCGCCTCGCACACATGGACAGCAAGTCCGACAAGTTTCGAATCTAAACAGTCAGCTTGGATGCCAACTTGACGATCGTGTGGATTGTGTTTGAATCCTGGCCAGCTGGTGGAAACAGTTGGCCACTGTCAGTTGATCATCGATTGTGGTCCTGGACACACTCCAGGGTTTATAGACTTCCCACTGTCCCAGCATTGTAACTTCATTTATGCCGGTACACTTGTACCAAATTTGACGTATTTGTTCCCTGACACTCGAACGTTGATTTGGGAGGTTTTTGTCTGACTTTGCAATTTGTTTGTACGGTGATTGAAGATTTAATGTTTGACGCAAAGAACAATATATAACATGGTTGGTAGGGTAGCCTAGGGTAGCCTAGGGTAGCCTAGGGTAGGCTAGGGTAGCCTACTGGTTAAACCGTATGAAGCCAATTTCTGGAGTCCCTTTCCGTGATATTGCTGGAATATTGCTAAAAGCAGTATAAGCCTATACTTACTCACTCGCTCACTAAACACTATAAACATTGTTTAGAGGGACAGGGCACGGATACTGTTGAGTACATACTCAGTAATAGATCATACATGAATCTCATATAAAGCTTATCTTGAATCGGAGGACACATTGTAGACTGTTTGTACTGAAGACATTGATTTGTGTTTCTGTGTAGTTCGGTCATAAATTTTTGGGGTAGATGGTCTGCCATACCTCGTTACCTCCCTTTGATGTTTGGGATGCAATGCTGTGGTGATTAATAGGGGATTGGATGTATATTGTTTATTGTTTCTGCCAGTATAGGAGAGGCAGGGAATTGATATGTATGTTGTCCTTGTTTATATTTGTTGCCATGGTTGCCCTTATCGCCATGGTAACACCCACTGTAGTAAAATTTGTCACCATCAGTCTCATCACCCGTAAATTCATATGAAATATATTTGATGGTCGTATATGAGCTACATTGATGTGAATGTAGAATATGTTGGACATGTGGACTCATTTGTAGATCTCATGACATTTTTTGTCAGTATGTAGTTTAAGTTGGTTATTCCGGTTTGAGGAATGTACTCAATCTCGTGTGCCATTCTGGTACAACATACCTGAAGGTCTCTGAACTCAGACAGATTAAGTTTGAGGATGCACTTCTTGCGTCATGTTTTGAGTCATATTTAGCAGATTGTTATGTTTGTGTTTTAGTCCGAGATGTACTTTCCTCCCTGTACAGTGTCCTGCATCATGTCTGTGGATGGTGTGGTATTTCACCGTATGGCATTGTCAGTTGATAACAGATTGAACCAACCACAGCTAGTTGTGGCCCTGCACCATGTGTGATCAAGCACGACTGAACATCATATCAAGTTTGTCTGTGATTGAGCCAAGTCACATTAAAGACAGCTTTGTTCACATATCACTTGATCAAAGTTAGAGGTTTTCTATTTGTCTCAAACCATCCTCTGTTATCTGGTGTAGTGTTCTGTTGTGATAACTACCCTGTACCGACTCACCACCAAAGCTTCGTTTTGGAAATCACGTCACAATATGACGTTCTCATTCAGCCCAGACTTTAGTTCGTACATGAGTGTAAATTGATTTGATGGCTATTTGAGTGTCACAAGATCCCGGAGAGAATAGGTCTTCAGCAACCCATGCTTGCCGTAAAAGGCGACTATGCTTGCCGTAAAAAGCGACTATGCTTGTCGTAAGAGGCGACTGATGGTATCGGGTGGTCAGGCTCGCTGACTTGGTTGGTGCATGTCATTGTATCCCAATTGCGTGGATTGATACTCATGATGTCGATCACTTGATTGTCTGGTCCAGACTCGATTATGTACAGACAGCCGTCATATAGCTGGAATATTGTTGAGAGCGGCATTAAACAACAAACACACACAAGATGTAAATGGGTCTGGGAAAATAAATATAATACATTGGATAATTGAAGATGGTTGCAAATGTTACAAGTTGAATCAGCTGTGCTTTGAGTCGTCTGTTATTGCTTAATTGATAATTGTTGTTGAATATTCCTGACTGAATCTTACAGAATGCTGGTTTGGTCTGTTGGACGACGTTGTCCAAGGTTTCCCCATATTGGGTGACTAGTTTCCGCCTGATGCTAGTGCTATTGTCTTTGTTTTGTTTGTCTTATTTTTCTCCACCATCGATATAGATGGCACTTCACACACACACAGACACACACACACACACTCAGACACACACACACACACACACTCAGACACATTGTTTAGCTCCTGATGTCAGATGGTATTTATCTGCTTCCTTTATTGTATTCTGTCTATTGTATCTGGCACATTGCGATGTCACAGTTTGAAATGAATCAGATTTTAATCTGGTTATGTGCCTCAGTTTTCATTCAGAATGTATTTTCAACATGTTTCAATATAGAAAACTATTTTTGTTGTATCATGATCAATTACTCTCCCGCACTGTACAATATAATCTTTTATGGCTTTTTAGCATGGGGAACTATTTAGCATGGATAGATGCACATACACATTAGTTATGAAACTACTTTTATCACTGGAATATGTTATGCGGGTTACAATGCTGCTATCCTCAAGCAGACTCCCATCATTCCTACGCCTGGACTAGCCATACAGAGGCAAGAATCTCGACCTACTCCTGGACTAGCCATACAGAGGCAAGAATCACAACCTACCCCTGGACTAGCCACACAGAGGCAAGAATCACGACCTACTCCAGGACTAGCCATACAGAGGCAAGAATCACAACCTACTCCTGGACGAGCCATACAGAGGCAAGAATCTCGACCTACTCCTGGACTAGCCATACAGAGGCAAGAATCACGACCTACTCCAGGACTAGCCATACAGAGGCAAGAATCACAACCTACCCCTGGACTAGCCACACAGAGGCAAGAATCACGACCTACTCCAGGACTAGCCATACAGAGGCAAGAATCACAACCTACCCCTGGACTAGCCACACAGAGGCAAGAATCTCGACCTACTCCTGGACTAGCCATACAGAGGCAAGAATCACGACCTACTCCTGGACTAGCCACACAGAGGCAAGAATCTCGACCTACTCCTGGACTAGCCATACAGAGGCAAGAATCTCCACCTACTCCTGGACTAGCCATACATAGGGAAAAATCTCCACCTACTCCTGGACTAGCCACACAGAGGCAAGAATCACAACCTACCCCTGGACTAGCCACACAGAGGCAAGAATCTCGACCTACTCCTGGACTAGCCACACAGAGGCAAGAATCTCCACCTACTCCTGGACTAGCCATACATAGGGAAAAATCTCCACCTACTCCTGGACTAGCCACACAGAGGCAAGAATCTCCACCTACTCCTGGACTAGCCATACAGAGGCAAGAATCACAACCTACTCCTGGACGAGCCATACAGAGGCAAGAATCACAACCTACTCCTGGACGAGCCATACAGAGGCAAGAATCTCCACCTACTCCTGGACTAGCCATACATAGGGAAAAATCTCCACCTACTCCTGGACTAGCCACACAGAGGCAAGAATCTCCACCTACTCCTGGACTAGCCACACAGAGGCAAGAATCTCCACCTACTCCTGGACTAGCCACACAGAGGCAAGAATCACGACCTACTCCAGGACTAGCCACACAGAGGCAAGAATCACAACCTACTCCTGGACGAGCCATACAGAGGCAAGAATCTCCACCTACTCCTGGACTAGCCACACAGAGGCAAGAATCTCCACCTACTCCTGGACTAGCCACACAGAGGCAAGAATCTCCACCTACTCCTGGACTAGCCACACAGAGGCAAGAATCTCCACCTACTCCTGGACTAGCCACACAGAGGCAAGAATCTCCACCTACTCCTGGACTGGCCATACAGAGGCAAGATTCTCGACCTCCTCCTGGACTAGCCATACAGAGGCAAGAATCACAACCTACTCCTGGACTAGCCGTACAGAGGCAAGAATCACGACCTACTCCTGGACTAGCCATACAGAGGCAAGAATCACCACCTACTCCTGGACTAGCCATACAGAGGCAAGAATCACGACCTACTCCTGGACTAGCCATACAGAGGCAAGAATCACAACCTACTCCTGGACTAGCCATACAGAGGCAAGAATCACGACCTACTCCTGGACTAGCCATACATAGGGAAAAATCTCCACCTACTCCTGGACTAGCCACACAGAGGCAAGAATCTCCACCTACTCCTGGACTAGCCATACAGAGGCAAGAATCACGACCTACTCCTGGACTAGCTGTACAGAGGCAAGAATCTCTACCTACTCCTGGACTAGCCATACACAGGGAAAAATCTCCACCTACTCCTGGACTAGCCACACAGAGGCAAGAATCTCCACCTACTCCTGGACTAGCCACACAGAGGCAAGATTCTCGACCTCCTCCTGGACTAGCCATACAGAGGCAAGAATCACAACCTACTCCTGGACTAGCCGTACAGAGGCAAGAATCACGACCTACTCCTGGACTAGCCATACAGAGGCAAGAATCACGACCTACTCCTGGACTAGCCATACAGAGGCAAGAATCACGACCTACTCCTGGACTAGCCATACAGAGGCAAGAATCACAACCTACTCCTGGACTAGCCATACAGAGGCAAGAATCACGACCTACTCCTGGACTAGCCATACATAGGGAAAAATCTCCACCTACTCCTGGACTAGCCACACAGAGGCAAGAATCTCCACCTACTCCTGGACTAGCCATACAGAGGCAAGAATCACGACCTACTCCTGGACTAGCCATACAGAGGCAAGAATCTCCACCTACTCCTGGACTAGCTGTACAGAGGCAAGAATCTCCACCTACTCCTGGACTAGCCATACAGAGGCAAGAATCACGACCTACTCCTGGACTAGCCATACAGAGGCAAGAATCTCCACCTACTCCTGGACTAGCTGTACAGAGGCAAGAATCTCCACCTACTCCTGGACTAGCCATACAGAGGCAAGAATCTCCACCTACTCCTGGACTAGCCATACAGAGGCAAGAATCTCCACCTACTCCTGGACTAGCCATACAGAGGCAAGAATCACGACCTACTCCTGGACTAGCCATACAGAGGCAAGAATCTCGACCTACTCCTGGACTAGCCGTACAGAGGCAAGAATCTCGACCTACTCCTGGACTAGCTGTACAGAGGCAAGAATCTCCACCTACTCCTGGACTAGCCATACAGAGGCAAGAATCTCGACCTACTCCTGGACTAGCCATACAGAGGCAAGAATCTCGACCTTCTCCTGGACTAGCCATACAGAGGCAAGAATCTCAATCTCAACACCAGTGGAAGAAAGCAGGTCGAGGGTCAATGGAGATTCAACTCATTTGGAAGAACTACAATTTCAGTGTTATACCTGACAAAAGATTATAATAATCCAGATGTTTATATACATCTTTCAGTATTATTATTTTGTTACTATATACCGGTGTATAGATCATGCTGGGAGAGTCATGAGTAGTCGGTACAAGTTGTGAGTTGTTGTTGACTCTAGATGTGGTCAAAGGTGCCTCCATTCACTGTGCAGAGTTGCGTCCCTTTGGTACGCCAGAAACCTATGACTGTTCTGTTTCGCCTCAATTATGTTTCTAGGTTGGTCCGCACCATACCCGTGCTCATGGGTATCACCAAAGTGGTAAACGTCTGAGATCTGCATCACTTCGGGCTTTCCTCCCACATCAAGCTGACACGCCTGGATATAACTGGAACAGTGTTGAGAACAGCGTGAAACCCAACTATCTCACACTAGGAGGTTTCATGTAATGATAAGTGAAGCTGCATGTCCGTCTCACTCACACTGACTACTGTGTGTCGGACTCACGGACAAATGCAAATGTGTTTTCTTAGTGTCTTGGTAATGGATGCCAGTCCTGATGCCAACTTCCAGTACTTTGTTGCACAATTCTTTCTTCAGACCTATCCCAGGGTGATGTCCTCGTGTTAAGTACCCAGGGCCCTGTTCCACAAAGCGACCTTAGTGCTAGGTTGGTCGTAACTCCCATACTTTACCATAGGCTTACGATCAACGTAGCACTAAGATCGCTTTGTGGAACAGGGCCCAGGAGTACAGGCCAGGACCAAGTTGCCAGTCCGGGGTCAACTGTCCTTATATTTTGTAATGTATCAAAACCAAAGAGTAAATCTTGGGCATTCAGCGGACTATTAGTCATTTTGTACTGTGTCTAATAATGTTACTTTAGTTACTGATCAAAATTGTCAGGATAAACAATCAAAAAAATTTGGGAAGGTTGTCAATATAATGTTGTGTGGTCTTTGTCATCATGGCTTCTAGTCATTATTAAGTGCTGCTTGGCTGAGCAATAATATATAACAGGTTAGCAAAAGACAGTTTCCCTGCTGTGGAGTTATGAATTAACATGAGAACCTTATTACAAAGTAT